AATACTTCCTCCTTTATGAGGCTTACAGCCACATATAGTTGAAAAATTGGTTCCTGTACAATCGCATAAGTTAAGCAACATTGAGCCTGGTCACTACTTAGATGGGTGACTGATTGGGAATACCAGGTGCTGTAAGCCTGGATATGCAGGTGGTGTAATGGATAATGGCTTAGAATTGTTAATCAGAATGCCAATTCCTGTTGAATTTGTTCTATTCACTTTTGTGTAAATACTCTTGGGGAAGGTATGAATCTCCCTCTTTTCCCTCACCTATGGGTTAATTAATAAAACTTGTACCACAAAATCATTATCTCAAAAAAATCTTAAAATCCAAAAATATTTTCTGGCTTTAAATAACCTGAAGAGCCATAGAAAATGAATGAATCAATTTGAGAATAGACATCACCGAAGTTAAGCAGCATTAAACTCAGTCAGTACTTTGGGGGCAGTGAATCGCTTGGGAATATCAAGTACTGTAAGCATCCTCTGTGCCTTGTCACCCCTCAAAATGGAAAATTTAATTGACATATTACAGAACATAATTTTATTATTTGTTGGTGAGTGTTCATCCCAGTTGTAACTGGCAGCTCATATTGAAGAATAAGTGATAGCAAGTCTCCTTTATAAACTAGTACTTTTAAGTATTCTAGCTTTTGCTTGTAATTCTATTTGGATAGTTCCATCTGTGCAACTAATTTCTACTTTTTTTTTTTTTGTTCTTTAAACTGTCCCCATGGTCCCAACTGGCATACCCTTCATGTCACAACTTCTTTCGCTGCCTGGTAGATGCAATGATTTGCAAAAAAAATAGGATATATTTAACAACTATTTAATGAAAATTGTGTTAGTCCTCCAATTTGTTTGTTATTTAGTCCTCCAATTTGTTTGTTATTTAGTCCTCCAATTTGTTTGTTATTTAGTCCTCCAATTTGTTTGTTATTTAGTCCTCCAATTTGTTTGTTATTTAGTCCTCCAATTTGTTTGTTATTTAGTCCTCCAATTTGTTTATTTAGTCCAATTCGTTTGTTATTTAGTTCTCCAGTTCATTTCTTTTTATTTTAACAATTTTTTTTCTCCAATAATTTATTCCACTTTTTGCTTTCTTGAATGCAATTAATGAAAATTAACTGTGTGAGAGAATTTCAGGACCTCACCCTGAAAAGAAAGCAATTTCTTTACTTGCATATATATTTTAAGTTATTAATGCCATGTTGCTACAATATAATTAGCAAGAAGTCAATTGCCAAATTGCATATTTAACATTATTATCCAATCTGGGCATTTTAACAACCTTATAGAAATGCTTCATTATTTTTAAATTTCAAACTTTTGTGGTTTTGTTATTTACTGAGTTGAGTGAGAATGCAACATGTCAAATAGAAAGTGAGGCTTGACCGACCACAGGATTGCCAGTTAGGTGAACTCGTATGCATTAGTTTAATTTGGCACAATGCCACAAGTAGAGGGTGCATAGTTTGTATTTCAGTTTGTTATTTACTCAATATAGCTTTGTGCAGCAGAGAGGATTACTCTCGCTATATACACAGTCAGATTTTATTATACAAATGAATGTTTTCACAGTAAAGTTAGTATTAACCAAGCAATGTTATTAACATTTTCAGGTTATACTTGTGTTCATAGGATAAATATAGCCCAGGAACTTCAGGTTATATTATGCTGCACAAATATTTACAAGGACTTATTTGGTAACCTGAGATTTTATTATGCAACTTGAGGGTTGTTCATCATAGTATAAAAAAAAATAAAAATGTAATAGTTTATTGGTCATACTTTAATTTCAAACATGTAAAGATTGTCCTAAGAAAGATATAATTCCCAAAGAGGAACAAGTTATTGTGTGATTAAAACCCATTAGGAATTGGAAAAACAAAAAAAAAAGAAAGATAAGAAAAAAAAAAAAAACTTTAAGAAAGTTGGAAATTATTTGAGAAAGATTAAAAAGCTAGGTTCACCCATCATCTGGTTTACACTTCCTGCCAGTCCTTTTGAACAGGAGTAGGGGTATATCCCTTGTTTCCTGTTTAGGCTCGTCTTTCTGGTTCCTACTAAAGTCTACTTCAACTCTACACTTCTAATATTGCCACCTCAACTATTTTTTTTACTATTTGATTTTTCTAAATTTTTTCTTCAATAGGAGTAGATGTGTTTGCCTATCATCCCATTCACACTTCTCTCTAGTCTTTTTGAACAGGAGTAGAGGTTTATCCCTTGTTTCCTGTTCAGGATTGGGTTTCCAGTTCCTTCTAAAGTCTGCTTCAGATTTCCTCTTCTCTATCTATGGCTGGTCCACACTCCTCTCCAGTCTATTGAACAGGAGTAGAGGTTTATCCCTTCTTTTCCTGTTTGGGTTTCCAGTTCCTTCTAAAGTCTTCTCGTTCTCTTTCACTCCAAGTAGCTGCTTGTGTCTTAGCAGCATGGGGTAGATTGATTTAAAAACAAAAAAACAAAAAAAAGGTGGGTGTGGCATGGGGATTGATTTTTTTTTTTTTTTTTTTTGAAGAAAAATAGACTGGCAAGAAAATATTGGAAGACCTAGAAAAAAATGTTAAAAGAACAACAACAAAAAAAGAATGAACATTAGTTAGAGACAAGAAAATATAACTACCATCTTTAAGTATCACAAAGTCAAATGTGTAAACTAGGCAAAGATATACATGAAAAGTGACTTTTTTTTCAGCATTCATTTTTAATGATAAATGTCGAGTGACAATGGATGGATTCCTTTACTCCAACTAAAATATATAATTTTCAGAAATCTCCGTGTATGAAATTTAAAAAAAAAAAAAAAAAAACACATTTTGGTATTTTCATATTAATTGTAATAATTCTATAAAAATAAACATTTATTTTAAAAACTTCTTTTAGACATGTAAAAGAGTGAGGACAAAGTCTTTGATATGTTTACCATTTATTTGGTTCCTGTTACAAAAATACAGTCCAGGTTTCACAGCCTTTTTCGTGGTTTTTTTTATTTGTAAATAAACCCAAAAGATATATGCCATAGAAATATATATTTTATTAACACAATATCCTGTGTATTGGAATAGATTATTTTATTAGTTTAAATGATAATATGAACTCATAGACATTCTATAACCTTCACCAGCATTTATTTTGTTTATTTGAAGTTTTTATTTTTCATCTCAGAGATGATCTTTGCTTGTATATTGTTATCTATTCTTGTATACATTTCTTTTAAAAATAGATGACAGTTTTAGCAATTTATTTTATAAATGCCTGCTTCATAAATATTATTGTCGCAATTTTCAGTTAACGGTATGAAAATGGCGTTCTCTAAATTCTTCCAGTTGTTAAGGACATTTTGTTTTTTTTATTATTAGTTATTTTGTTTAAATAAATTCATTTCGTTTTTTTGCCTTGAGAAAGTCGACATTGGACGAAACACATCGGCAACTACTACAGTTTTCCTATTGTCATTTATATATTTATATATATATATATATATATATATATATATATATATATATATATATATATATATATATAATTTAATAAAAAAACAGACCACTTTAAGGTACCATTACAATAATTTATTTCACCAAAATCCTTTTTAAAGGATTTGGGATCATCAGGTTTACCAAGTTCTTCATAACTTATATATATATATATATATATATATATATATGTGTGTGTGTGTGTGTGTGTGTGTGTGTGGCTCGATGTTCAATTGCTTCAAGCTAGATTGAAACCTGACTGATTTGACATCAGTCAGATATCTTACCTCTAGGCCATTGTCACACGGCAGAAAGAAAGGCAATATATATATATATTTTACGTTATATATATATATATATATATATATATATATATATATATATATATATATATATATATATATATATATATATATATATATATATATATATATATATATAAAATATAATATTATTTATTAAAGACATATTTTTATGTTTAACGTTGTTATTTTATAGATACAAGTATTTAAGCAAATGCTCTGTTTATGATAAACAGTATTAAATAACATTTACCGGCCTGAATGTCCGAGAAATTTTCATAGAAAATTTTTCGTTCTTTGACAGGATTCGAACCTGCATCCTATATGGAACCGTCATATACGCTGACGTGCCTTACCGCTTTTGAGCTACAAAGAACCAATCGGTAGACAAGGTCGAATTTACTGCTTATAAACTCAATTTTCCATGAATCTCGTACATTCATAACTGCTCTAGCGTGTCGAATGTAAACAAATGACGTCATATATTAAGAAATGGACAAGGTCCGACAATTTATTTATTAAAGACATATTTTTATGTTTAACGTTGTTATTTTATAGATACAAGTATTTAAGCAAATGCTCTGTTTATGATAAACAGTATTAAATAACATTTACCGGCCTGAATGTCCGAGAAATTTTCATAGAAAATTTTCGTTCTTTGACAGGATTGAAAAATTTCTTGGACATTCAGGCGGTAAATGTTATTTAATACTGTTTATCATAAACAGAGCATTTGCTTTAAATACTTGTATCTATAAAATAACAAAAATATAAACATAAAAATATGTCTTTAATAAATAAATTATATGGACCTATCCATTTCTTAATATATAATATAATATATATATATATATATATATATATATATATATATATATATATATATATATATATATATATATATATATAATATATAATATAATATAATATATATATAATATATATATATATATATATATATATATATATATATATATATATATATATATATATATATATATATATATATATATATATATATATATATATATATATATATATATATATATATATATATATATATATATATATATAAAAAAAAACAGTATAAATTGGATTTTGTATTGTATCTAGTTCCTAGTAACAGCTTCTATAAAAAAGATAAGATAATTGCAAGAATGTACTTTGTTTATAGTTAGGAAATATGTGTTGCTAATGTTCTTTATTTTTTTTTCTTTTACAGATTGAACATTCATTCCACTACATTGATATTCTGGCCATAGAAAGTTTCAAACGAAATCAAGTAAGTTCAGATTTCTTTTACTTCTGTTCTGGCTTTGAGTTGAATGATTTCTATGTGACATGTCTCTTCAAGACATTGGTGATCATGGCTCTCCACAATTCCCTATCTGTTGTAACCCTGAATAAATCTTGCTTTTGTTATCTCTCCTAAACCTTGTTCTGCCATCCATTTATATAAACAGTGCATGACCTACCTGTTATGCACTGTTTTTTCTGTTCCTCTAGCCTTCAATATGTCCTGTGGGTGTCAAATTTTCCAAGCCCCCTTTCCTCATTATGTGCCTATAAATTTTAACTAAAGCTTTCTGATTCTAATTTTAAGTGTCATTTTTGTTTCTATCGTTTTCTATTTCTAAAACTTTGCTATTGCTCTCATATTCAGTCCATGGCATTCTCAGCATCCTTCTGCAGAACCACATTTCTGTTGCTTCAAGTCTTGTCTTCATTTATAATGATTGTCCAGCATTCACTGGCTTGTATGAGGACTGATAATCACGTAACAGTTCAGTATTCTTTTCTTTGTTTCCAATGAAATGTTCCTGCTTCAACTATTAACCTTTATCACTCTCTGTGTGACTTTATTTACTCTGCAAAAAGTGTTTAGGCTGCCACTGAAGGTGACTCTGATTCCTGAAGAATAGTGTTTGAATTTCGTAGTTGTGTTGTCATATCCTGTTATGGCAACAGAAAATGACTTTAGTGAAATTAACAATAAGGATACTGCAATTGAGAGCCATTGGAAAAGAATGTAGTGGGGAAGTAATATTAATAATGCAAGATTAATTTCCTCATTTTCATATAAAGAACACTTTAATTATCATGGTTTGATCATACCAGAGATGCCCAATTTCAAACATGGAAGCAATAATTACATTTGATAAATGTTTAAGTTGGTTGCGCTTTCAATCAGAAGCTAACCTTACAAATACATTTACTGTAATCCTGCTTTGGGATTTAGGGGTAGAAAAAAATGCAGATACAGCCAAAAACAAACAAAAATTGATTATTTCATAAAAAATAAACTGGGCAAATTCTTGAAAGTGTTTAAAAATGTTATTTGATGATATAAATGTTAAATTTCTTTCAGAAATAACAAATCTGGAATTTTGAATTATCCAGACCTGACAGAAAAAACTCAAAATCATTTAAACATTTTTAAATTATCCAAACTAGACTCATTCTAATACTTCATCTCTGACAAGTGTTTTGAGAATTTAGAAAAGCATGCTCAACAAAAATGCCAATAAAATCAGTTCAATTAATACTTGTTAACCTTTATCACTCTGTATGTGACTTTATGCTGTACCCTGCCACTGAAGAATAGTGTATTTGAATTTCATAGTTGTGTTGTCATATCCTGCTATGGCAACAGAAAACTACTTTAGTGAAATTAACAATAAGGATACTACAATTGAGAGCCATTGAAAAAGAATGCAGTGGGAAGTAATATTAATAATGCAGAGAGCTGAAGGTTAAATTTTAAACAAAGCTATGTCCATGTGAAAAATAAGATGCTGAAAAGCTTTGTATCCAGTGAAAAGATTAGAAAATAAATTCTGATGATCGGTCATTTACATTATTTGGACTATTGTCCTCATCTTTGTCGCCATATTTATTACAACATTTTGGCTGTTGTACACACCGGCCTTCTTCAGGTGGTTGGAATGTCAAACTGAACCCTTTCTTTCACTCACTGGGGTAGACTGTTCTAATTCCATGTGCCATGTTTAATTGATGTCAGTTGTCAGTTATCTCCTGTTAATTCCCCTCTCCAAGTTCGCCACTGTGCCATGTGTCTTCAAGGATACATGGCACAGTGGATAAAAGCGTTGGTTAGATTCAGTGGCAGGACCCAAAGAGTGTGAGTTCAATACCCAGTTAAAGCAGTGGAGAACTTTCAGAGGGAAATTAACAGGTGATAACTGATAACTGACATCCATTAAACATGGTCACATGGAACTAGAACGGTCTACCCCAGTGAGTGAAATAAAGAGTTAATTTCGACAACGGCTGAAACGTTGTAATAAATATGGCAACAAAGATGAGGACAATAATATGAATAATGTACATAATACCTCATCTCAGAAACATAGACAAATCGGTCATTTAGTCATTTTGATGAGTGGGTTTTGTCAAGAACTTTTCAGCACCTTGTATGCATGCTCACACACAATTTTGTCCAGATGTAGAGAAATATTGACTAAAAATATCATACTGCATCAGTATTGTTACAAATATTAGAAATCCTGTATTTTACAGAGGTTGGTACTAGTGTTACAGAATACAGTGTGGGTAACCTTTTAAGGACTGGAATCTCTAATCTTCAATTTCTTAAATTGTCTGTTTAAAATTTGAAGTGGATAATTAATATCAACTGGATGAATGGGAGGGGTGTCTGATTTGGGGGTAGAAATTAAAAACTGTTATTCCCTGCACTCATATCCTGAAAAAAAAAACAGATGCGCCAGAACCATGTCAAAAAAGAGGCCACAGAGTAGGTTGGAAAAGTTTCCAGAAGATGGAGAGAGAGAGAAGCTCCAAAGAGATGGGAACAGAAGACAGCCATTTTGAAATTCTCAAATTCAAGTGGGTTTCTTCCTTTTCTTTGTGTCATGTCCCCTCAGGACATAGGTAATCACGGCTCTCCACAATTTTCTGTCCTTTGTAGCTCTTAATCTCTAATACAGTCTACGGAAATTCAAATTCCAAGTTGGTGTCTGGTATGGGATAATTCACTTTGTGGCTTGAAAGAAGTCTTTAGCCTTGGGTGGCAGTCTTTCTAGAGATGGCGTCTGGACAAAAAACACCCAGATGTAGGGTTGGCATCTCACATTTTGTATCAGTTACTGATAGAACTAGTTCTGAACAACCACAAGGAGGTTGAAGGATGATGAGCTCTTAATAAATTTTGTCTTTTTGTTATTTCTCCTAAACCTTGTTCTACCATCCATTTACTTAAGCTCATTGTGTTATGCACCATTTTCCATTCTCCCTCTTGCCTTCAATCTGTCCAATGACCATCAAATTTTCCAAGCCCTCTTTCCTCATTATGTGCCCCAGAAATTTCAACTACCTCTTCCTGATAAGTATGTTTGTTTTTCTTTCCATTTTTTTCTAAAAACATGTCGTTACTCATATGTTCGGTCCATGGTATCCTCAGCCTCCTTCTGTAGAACCACATTTCTATTGCTTCAAGTATCTTCATCTGTGAGGAGATTGTCCTGCATTCACTGCCATATAGGAGGAGAGATATTATGTAACAGTTCAGTTCTCTTTTCTTTGTCTCTAACAAACTTTTTCTGTCTCTTAATACTCTGCTTAGCTTTTGGAAGGCATCTTTGGGTAACCCAAGGCATCTTTGGATTTCAGTGTCGCACTTTCCATCCTGTATTACAACACTTCCCAGATATTTAGATTTTTGTACTTGTTTGATTTTGGTATCTCTGAGTTGTAATTTATATTTTGGGCTGACCCTTTTGCTAGCAATCATGCATTCCATATTCTTGCAATTTGTTTAATCTTTTCTTCTCACTTTCCTTCATTAACTTCTGTAGGAGCTTTTGTAGTTTACCTTCTGTGTCTGCTATCAGTATTGTGTCATCTGCATATCTTGTGTTAAGATTGCGACTGCCAATAATGAATCCTGGTAGGTGATTTGATTCTCTGGGAATTACCTCGCTGTATAGGTTGAATAAGTTTGGTGAGAAGACACAACCTTGTCTTACACCCATTTCTATTTTTGTATATCTGCTGGTTTCCTCTTAGTTGAGAAAATAAAACAAGTTACTTTCCTCAACAGCGTTTTTTTTTCTTCTATGTTCCAGTCAGTTTTCATAATGGAGTTGTTTTGTTTTTTATTGATATGACAGTTTTTGTTGAAATGTGAACATTTATGATACATGGCCTTTCTCTTCTACGCCTTCAGAACCAATAATTGTCAAACAACTGGTGTTTGATTCTATGCCTTGAAGAGGTTAAGATGTTAAATTGAGGGCGGGGTCATAATCATGAAGGGCATGTGATGACAGCCAAGGACATTAGAGGGAAAAAAAACCTGGTATGACACTATGGTTAGTAGGAGGGTGTGTAATGCCAAAGATTCACTGGCTATCAAAATTTGGTCTGAGTGTCTCGTGGGGTGGGGGGTAATATTTTCCTACAAAGAAAAGAAAAAAAAAATTTAAGATAAATTTTAAGGGTGGTGTAAGAAGAATATTAATAAAGTACAAAGATAAGTTGACTTAGCAGTTAAAAAGGTTATGACTTGACAAGTCGGTTCAGCTGACAGTTATTACGAGAAACATCCTGACTTAAAGTTCAGAGAATTGTTTTAAAAAAAAAAAAACTTTGATAAAAGGAAATTTTTAAAAACCGTGATTGAAACCAAATTGGAATGTGTTATTTAAAGAAAACTATTGCGCATGTTTATTTGATTGATTGACTGATTTGTCTTTTATGGCTTATCAACTCTTTGCAGGTTATTTAAAGCCAGAAAACACTTTTAGATTGTATTTTTTTTTTTTTTTTTTGATATGATAATGGTTTAGTGATACAAGTTTTTATAATTAACCCATAGCTGTGGGGAGAAGTGATGGATTTATCTTTCCCAAGAGTATTTGCATGTAAGTGAATATAACAACCTTAACAGGAAATGGAACTCGGCTCTCTGATTAACAATTCCAAACTATTGTCCATTACACCACCACACATCAAAACGTACCGCACACGATATCCCCAAATGGTCCTCCATTTACATACTGACCAGGTTTGATGTTGCTTAACTGATGTTTCAGCATGATGTGGCCATAAGCCACTATTGCTATTCTCTCCTCACAATTATTACTGTGCTCTCTCTCTCCTCACAATTATTACTGTGCTCTCTCTCTCCTCACAATTATTACTGTGCTCTCTCTCTCCTCACAATTATTACTGTGCTCTCTCTCTCTCCTCACAATTATTACTGTGCTCTCTCTCTCTCCTCACAATTATTACTGTGCTCTCTCTCTCCTCACAATTATTACTGTGCTCTCTCTCTCTCCTCACAATTATTACTGTGCTCTCTCTCTCCTCACTGTTATTACTGTGCTCTCTCTCTCTCCTCCACAATTATTACTGTGCTCTCTCTCTCTCCTCCAGTGTGTCTGTCTCTCTCTCTCCCTGGTGTGCTGTGCTCTCTCTCCTCACAATTATTACTGTGCTCTCTCTCTCCTCTAGTATTACTGTGCTCTCTCTCTCTCTCAATTATTACTGTGCTCTCTCTCTCCCTCACAATTATTACTGTGCTCTCTCTCTCCTCACAATTATTACTGTGCTCTCTCTCTCCTCACAATTATTACTGTGCTCTCTCTCTCCTCACAATTATTACTGTGCTCTCTCTCTCTCCTCACAATTATTACCGCTCTCTCTCTCTCCTCACAATTATTACCGCTCCCTCTCTTTCCTCACAATTATTACCGCTCCCTCTCTCTCCTCACAATTATTACTGCTCCCTCTCTCTCTCTCTACTTACAATTATTACTGCTCCCTCTCTCTCTCTCTACTTACAATTATTACTGCTCCCTCTCTCTCTCTCTACTTACAATTCTTGCTGCTCCTCTCTCTCTCTCTACTTACAATTATTACTGCTCCCTCTCTCTCTCTCCTTCCAATCATTCCTGCTCCCCTCTCTCTCTCTACTTACAATTATTACTGCTCCCCTCTCTCTCTCTCTTACAATTATTACTGCTCCCTCTCTCTCTCTACTTACCCCATTATCTTTCCTGCTCCCTCTCTCTATTTACAATTATTACTGCTCCCTCTCTCTCTCTCTACAATTATTACTGCTCCCCTCTCTCTCTCTCTACAACAATTATTACTGCTCCCTCTCTCTCTTACAATTATTACTGCTCCCTCTCTCTCTCTCTACTTACAATTATTACTGCTCCCTCTCTCTCTCTACTTACAATTATTACTGCTCCCTCTCTCTCTCTCTACTTACAATTATTACTGCTCCTCCTCTCTCTCTCTCTACTTACAATTATTACTGCTCCCTCTCTATTTATAATTGACTAATAAATTTATGTAATCACTAACCAATCAAGGAAACCTGAATAATTCTTTCTCTCCCATGAAAATGATGATGTGTGAGGGATTGTGGAGTGAGAGACAGGGATTTGTTAAAATCACTGCATGTGTACATGATGGGGCAGTGTGAGATAATTACAGTGCCAATCACAATCCACCAAATACCTGAAACTATTCTCTATCCTGATGAGATTTAATGATTACCAGCTGACCTTATCCTCCTCCTCCTAACTACTCGTTTCAACTTTGGCATATTTTGTTTTACTTTCAAACATATTTTTTTTTTTTGTGTGTGTGATTTCTAATCATATTGCAATAAAATCCATTTACGCTTAATGCCAAATGCCTGTCCAGTTTTTTTTTTTTTTTTTTTTTTTTCATAAGTCACCAACACCTGGCAGATGTTACATGATGAACTAGATCATTCAGATGACATTTGACCAACTTTGTCACTTTGTATGATGCCATCAAGTTTGTGTTGTTGATAAATACACCAACATCCCTTTTTGTGGATCTTTCAACACAATGGGGACACAGAAAGCATTAAAAAGAATGACTCTGTTTAATTGAATAGAGAATAATCTGACCCCACCACAAGTCATTACCCAATCCAGGCTATAGGACCCAGTCTGTTCTGTTATTCAACCCATAGTTAGGGGAGAAGATGCGGATACATACCTTTCCCAAGGCTATTTGTGCATGGATGCAACAAACCCAACTGGAATTTGAACTCTGCTCTCTGGGTTCTCATTCTAAGCTGATATCCATTACACTATTACATGCATTGTTTGGAATATTAAACTCAGTTTATGTATTGCTTTTCTTGTTATCATTATCATGGATACCCCCCATCTCTTATTTTTTGCTGGTTTTACTTGAAAACCTTATAACAAAAAATGTTTGTTCTTCTAAAAGATTTTCTGAATGAAGAGAGTGGATTGTAGCGAGAATGCTTTTCTGGTTTTATGGCCTCAGTATTTACCTTCATTGAAAGTATTTCATTACTTTCTGTGATTCTTTGTATAAAGAAACTATTGTTCCATCTTACATAAGCAGCCAAGTAGTCATGAATATCTCCTGTGTTTATACCTATCTGTTAAATGTTATCTTTGTTTACTCTGACTGTAATAAACTGTGTGCTGAGGGATTCTCCTCACTCGGCTAAATACTACTTATGCCCCTCTTAAGAAAATCTTGCAGTTCACTTAATCTAATTAGTGACATTACAAGAGACAGTATGTCCTACTGTTAACAGGGCCACCCTGGTGGGTCTTCTGCTCTCATATTAAATGGAAACAAAAGAATTTCAAGCTGACCTCCTGGATGCACATCTGGTACTTCCTGCATTGGATGTGATTTCAGCCAGTATCATTTAACTGTTACTTGAGACAATTTTTGCCCTTCACATTTGGTCATAATCCTTAAGGGCCTGTAGTTGGCCACTGCTTTCTCTACAATGGATAGTAATGTCTTTCTTGAGTATTCTTAGTATACATGTGACACTATAAAATAATGTATGTAAAATGTCCCCACAATGTCAAAAATGGGATGTCCCATCAATTTGCTGCCTACTGTCATGCCCTGTTCAATTCCAGTAATTTATGTTACCTTATCACAAGCAACTTAGGCAATGTTAAAACTGACTCGACAGATGTCCAAGCATAACTGGTGGCACTACTTACCATTACCTTGCCATACTGCTATCTCATGACTTTTTTCTTCTTTTTTTTTGTTTTTACATTAAGTTCACACCTTTTAGAAGACCTGGAGGCCACTTAAGGTAGAGGATTATGTTAGGAGGAAGTTTGTGTAGATATGAGTGGAAGATAATGGTTAACCTGAGCCTTGAACAGGTTAAGATTGTAGTGATCGGGGAAACACCCTCTTGGGTGTCTGTTCCACAGTTCACTCACTGATATGAAGAAGCTGTTAGAGTGGAACTTCTCACTGATGGAATATGGATGAAATGTGGGTGGATGCTACTATGTAAATGACATGATGTGTCCTTGCCATGAAGATTTGAATTGGTGGGTCTAGGGAATGTAGTTTGTCTGAGCACTTTCCATGGAAGTAACAATAGAGCAGTAAGAGGCTTGCTATGTCCTGCCTGTTGGAGAGAGGGTAGAGAATAATTCAGAAGGTCTTTGGCATGTTAGAGTAAAGGACCATTCAATGTATCCTGATGTAATATATTAAGGCAAGATTTCGACTTTTATTGATGACCACTGATTTCATGAGCTTCCTGCTTAAGTTCACTCATTTTCTGTAATCACAAATGAAACATTTTTGGCAGTAGAGAGAAAAAAATTTTGTATTGAATTTTTTTAATTGCTTGAAATTTGTTTTTGCATCTTTGATATCCTGTAATTGGCTGATTGATTATTGTTGCATATGAATTTTGCTATTAATGAATAATTTTTTTTCTTTTCTTTTTGTATTTTCCAGTTGTCGCTTACTATTGAGGGCAAAACTTATAACTTCCTCACGTTAGAATCTGATGTTGAACAAATTGATTTTATAATTACTCACATTGGTGTTTCTTTAAAAACTATTTTCCCCAGTGTTCCATTAGAGTAAGTAAATTTTATTTATTTTTGGTGGAATGCTTATTTATTCATAAGCCATATTTTTTATTTTATTTTTTCAACATCTGATTTAAGAAGGCAATTAACAGCAAATATAAAAAAACAACTTAAAATCAATATTTTAAACGTAATGAAAATGAATTTCAGAATACTTAAAATATGCAACAAATTATGCAGCACTTATTTTGATTAATCACATAGAATGATTACTTTGCTACTTATATAAATGTAAAAAGTCTTAGTAGTCAAATGAGAGATTGTTATAAAAAGTCACTGTTGAATTTTTTTTACTGCTAATTTGATTAAATAATACACTGACTATTGTTTGCGTCATGTGGCAATAATTCTAAGTAAAATGATGCACTAAAGTAACTAAGTGACTATTTAAATTCTCTGAATATAAGTACTTTTAAAATATATTAAAAGATAATGGCTTGTTACAGATTTGTGCTGTGAGGGAAGACTACTATAATAGTCAAACTAGTAATGTAATAATAACAATTTTTATAGCTATATATAAAATTAGTATTACTGCAAATATCAAGTCTACCCTTAGCTACAAAATCTGTTATTTTTTTCACAGAGATGTGATTCTTATATGCCTGTGACAATTTGAATCATGGAAGTTTATAAAAGTTAGTGTTGGTCAAAATGGTGACCCAATTCAATTTGCTGAAGGATATTTGTTTGAATGGTAAATGCTTGATGTTGAGGTGCCTGTCAGTAGTTCACTTCTGAACCGGCTGATCGGTTGAACTCTCTGCCTTCGGGCAGGGAGGAACCTGAAGGAAGTTACACCGAAGGGCAGATTCTCTTTCGGGGAGGTAAACCGACCCTGAACCCGTTTATACGGGTCCAATGGGCATGTTTTTAGCCGAGCCCACGTTAAAAAGGCCTTGTGCCACATGACGCCCTTGTGGGGTGGGGGTGACTGAATATCGTCAGAATGGCAAGAAGTCAGTTTTAGGATATGGGCTGAAGAGGGAAAAAAAGCTCTTGTCTTTGAGACATTGACTAGAAATTTGAACATTCAGCTTTGATGAAGACTTTGCTTACCAAGTGAAAAGCCACAAATCTGTTGTCTCTGAACAATGAAAACTGCATGAGTGGATTTTATAAATCAAAGAAGCAAATAAAAAGATCCTCCCAAACTTAGTATGCTAAATGCACTCATCTTTTTTTTTTCTTTTTTTCTCCTAAGAGGGATTGACGTGAATAACAAATAGTAGATTTAAATTCTGGTTGGTGAATATTGTTTTTCAAAATTCTCTTGAAAACAATTTGAAACCACCCAGCCATTATCTCTCTTTATTGCAATAATAACTCTAATGGCTAAAAGCAGAATAATAACTTTAATAACAACATTCATGACATTCTGCATTTATTCAACAAATACAAGAATGCAGAGAGAAAAGAGGATGAAAGACAAGCTCAAGTGGTGAGAAAGAAACTCAAGAATACAATGAGAGAGAGAGATAGGCAAATACAATTGGAGAGTCAGATGGACACGCACTAGTACACCATTTTAGACAATAGTACACGCACACACAGATTTTATATATATATATATATATAAAATCATCCCATATGGGGAATAGCCTATTTCAGCAGACGAAAATATCGGTCATCTGTCTTATCAACCCCTTTTGTGGATTGAGTGTGTATCAGAAATTTAACAGTGAATGTTAAAAAAAAAAAAAAAAAACTCGGTCCACACAGGGGTTGATAAGACAGACAACTGATATTTTAAGTGATTTTATTTATTTTATATATCGGTATCTACATCTCTCTCTCTCTCTATATATATATATATATATATATATATATATATATATAATGTGTGTGTGTGTGTGTATTTAGGCAGCATTTTTTCATTTATACATGTTTCATTATTTGATATAGACAAGTGTTGTCTATTTATTTTATGTAAATTCTTTTCATAACGTCTGATAAGCTTAATAACATTATCATTAAATAAAGAAAGAAAATCACAATATTGATACATATTTTTAATCCAATCTAAGCTTTCGGCTTATATAAGCCATTATCAAAAAAGACAATTACTGTACAATATATTAAGCAATACACGGACAAGAATGTGATGATAGTCTTTCTGTTTACATGAATGATTTCCAAGCAACGATAAACACGTGCATATAAGATGCTAGAAGCGAAAATCGTACCACAGCTCATGACTTCACACATGACCACACGAGAGTGAATTCGAGAAGTATTAAGTATGGGAAGCCGTTGGTATTAACCAATGGCTTCTATTACCAATTATAGACATTTAAGAATATTTGTGGAAATTTCATAGTTTATTTTGTTTAGGTTAGGTTTCAACTATTTTATGTATAATGCTTCAAGGATTTTTAGTTTTTGTTTATTGTTTTCATGTTTAAGTGTAATTGTGTTTTTGACAAGGATTTTATGGAATTGTGTATGCGGCCAGGCATGTTGTTTTAAATGCCTAAAAATGTTAGTTTTCATTCAGATGTAGTGGGTACACATATATGAGTTGCTATCCCTGATTTTATTTTGTTTTTTTTTAGTGAAATTAATGACAATCATTTGAGACTGTTTACGAAAATAGGGATAAAAACTCAAATACATGTATCCACTAAAAATAATGTTTACAGTAATAAAGAAATAATGTCTGATAAAAAAAATATTCATTAAAAATAAATGATATGATAATCCAACTTACACCTGACCAACCACAACTTTTAGTTTAAGTCCTGCAGTCATCAGGTAGATGAAATCACTTGATGATTGCATGTTCATAAGAAACTAATAGTTGTTTGGACAGTTGGTCACTGTATAACATAAAATACATTTTGGCATTGAGATCTTTCTCTCTGGTGTACTTCTTTAGTATATATCTTTGGTAGGTACTTACATTGTGTGTTTAATAATCTATATAACGTTTTTTTTTATTTCAGTCGTCTAATTAAAAAAATTGATGTTCTTCCACATGATCGTCTCAATCTGATGCAGGACATGATTAAAGATAAAGAAAAAAAAGACCCTGGCCCTTGTGGTGGCTTTTCCAACATGTACGCTTGTATGTGTGACTATCACCACTTACCTTACCGAGATGATGTTGCTTGGGTTAGTATCCCTTTTTTTTTTTTTTTTTTTTCTTTCTAATTCTTGTTTAAAAAGAAAAATCATAAACTTGTCAAATATGGATTGACTTTTTTTTTCTTTTTTTTTTTCTTATAATTTTGACCAAGTTTTGAAATTTGGTATAAATTTTACTCCGAATTTTCAATTGATGTAAGATGTAATTTTTAGAACTGTAACCATTTGAGTCTGATGAGCACTTGTTGATGCCTTATCCCTGAGTATTTGGGTAAATCTCATTGTTTCCATACACCTTTTAGAAAAGAAGAAATCAATAACTGAAGAGTAACAAATGTCTTGTACAAAGTTGCTCATATGAACAACTTTGTAATTACATGTTTTTTTATTACCAGTTTCTTTTCTTTAATATCTGTGGATTGCTATGACTTGGGGAAAAATAGTGGTTTTCCACAGCCTTTTCCATGGTTTTGAATTCAGTCTTTCTTCTCCTAGACTGGTTACTATACAAGACTTGAGTCTACCTGCTATTTAACCCATAGATGGTAGAGGGGAAAAGTCATATTAGATGCAAAAGTATTCTGTTGGTAAATCAGTGATTTGGGTGATTGTATAAAACTTGTAAACAAACTGAATGTTATTTTTCTAGTTTATCTTTCATCTTTTGTTCCTTTGGATTGTAACACCGAAGTCCTTTGTATATTCTGCCAAATTAAACAAAGCAGGGATTTCAAATAAATTTTTTTCGAGTTTTTTTCGGAGTTAACTTCTACTTTAGTTCGTTAACCCTTTCACCAGGGGTCTCTCTTCCCTGGCTATAACTAGTCACTGACTCTTCGCCTCTTCCTTTTTTTTTTCCTCAGGCCTTTGGGCTGACACCTTGAGGTAAATCTTTCTTTTTCCTCAGGCTTTCAGCCTTATTACCTCGAAGATGTGAACGCTCACAGGGATAGCGTTTCCCAAATGCTGGGAACACGCTAAACACACACACACACACACACACACACACACACATACACACATATATATAATATTCACACACACACTTTGTCCTTTGTAACTGTTTCCATGTAACTTGTTATTAATATATATTTGTATACATATATTATCGGTCTTGTGTTTCTTTTTCTTGCCTTCTTCTTTGGACTTAATTAAAAGTCCAACTTTCTCATGTAGTTGGACCGGCTAGCAGGAAAATCTGAACCCGCATGTGTTTCTTCTACTTCTACTCAACAATATCACAGCCATGGTCCACTACATTTTATCCCATATTCTTTTCAGTCTGTTCTAGTTGTTAATGGTTGTAGAGCATAGAAATGGTATGGTGTGAGTGTTGCAATAAAATGCGATCAAAAATAAAATGAAAGAAAAAAAACTAGTAAAAAAATTAATGATAACTGTGGCATAATTTAAATGTATTAAATTACAAGAAAGAGAAAGAAGAGCTGATGAAGTCTTTACTGTTTGAACTGTCGAAGCAATGTTTATCCTGTTACTATCCCTCTTAGTCCATGTTCTGTTATCCATTTACACAAATTTGTTAAATACATTGATCATGGCTCTTCACAACTTCCTATCCTTTGTTGCTTTAAGCAATGTTTATCCCCTTAGTATCCCACTTCTGACATCATGTGGCATAATTTTATGTGTATTTAATTTAGAGGAGTGGGGAAAGAGATGATGAATGTGTAGAATTTAATATCTGCCTCTCCTCATTCATAGTCCGTTTTTATAGTGAAGACAGATAACATTGTGTGGTGGTAAAGAAACGACTCAACTGATAGTTGCAGATAGGAACCGGGGGGTAATCGACAAAATAGTGTCACACGTCCAACCTTCTCACGAGCAAAAAGCTCAGTGTCCAGAAACAAAAACGCGCCTGCTTTATACAGCCGAGGATCGGCCATAATTTGCATGCGAATGACGAGATGACGAGACTTCGCGTTAACTGTCTGAGACCACCCGGCATAAAACATGGGCGCCGTCATTTTGGTTCTTTTTATTGTTGCATAGTCGGAGTTTGCATGACGCACAGATTCGCGGACGTTTCCGAGGTAGGCCATTTTCACAATTTTCCCCACACCATTGCTTGACAAGGGAGGTAAGCATGGATTACTCCATAACAAAAATGTTTTATGTAATGGTTTCTTCGGTCGCACTTCATGCTTGTACAACTCTATTCTGGCTTTTTGCTTTCCAATCAAATTTGATCTTCAAAAATGCAACGTCAATTGTAATCTTCTGCCTTCTTGAATCCTATTTTATTGTCCTATCTCCCCTCAATAACCTTTTCTCAATTTCTTTCACTCGGTAAACTGTGGAGTCTTAGTAGCTTTCTTGCTTTTCTTGGGGGGAAATTATTAAAATTGTCCTTATGTATTTAATTTAAGCTCACTACTAGATTGGCAGCTAGGTCTCATCATTTTACAGTTGAAATGGTTAGATCTAACCATGAGTTCTATGTTAACAGTTTCTTCGCTAACACTTCTCGTTTGTGAAACTCTCTTTGGGTTTCTTGTTTCCCAGTTAATTTTGATCTTCAAAAATTTAAATGCAATGTCAATCATTATCTTCTGTCTCATTAATTTTTTTTCTCTTATTCTCTCACATTCAGCAACCTCTTACATCTTAGTGGCTTTATTGCCTTGCTAGGGAGTGAAATGATTAAAAAAAACAAAAAGGAATTTTAAGATAGAAGATTGATTTAGCAAAATGGTAATTTTTGAAATCTGAAATGGCGTAAACATATCCAAATTGAAGTCAATATCATTTGAATTTTGGCTTTATTTTAAAGATTTAAAGATTTAACCTTTGAAATATTTAATTTCTAATTTATAAAACCTACAATCATAATAAATATTTGCCTAGTGTTAATTTGATTTAGAGGACAGTGGTTCCCTGTCACCTTGTCCAGAGTTTTGATTTCTACAGTCAGCCTCCGAAAGAAACAGACGACAAATTTTATTTAATAATGGTCCCAATCCACGAGAACAGTAACTCTCTCTATATTTTTAGATGATACTTTTTTTTGGTGTAAAATATGAAATAATTATGAATAAAATATGAAACTCATGATATTTCTTTATCTAAACCTTACACCCTTCAAGAGGCCTTTATCAAATTTCAAAGACTAGAGGGGTCCAAATATTCTAAATTGTTTCAAGTTATTTCAAAGGAGCCCCATGAAATGTAAAAATAAATAAATCTCCTCTGTTCTTTATAGCTTTTTATTTATTTTTTAGTTTTATCATGGGCCCAAAGAGAGAGGGCTCTTGGGGGCCCCTCTAATCTTAGGGTCCCTGTGCTGCAGCCCATCTGCTGGCAGTTCAAATATGCCAAGCACAGACTGTAAAGTGCATCTATTAAGTAATAAAGTTGAAAGTTTCATGATTTGAGAGAAAAAAATATTCATATGCTGAATTTAACATTGACAGAAAGAATCAATCAGTTGAGCATCTCTCATTACAGTACAAATGGGTGCTGAAAAGCTACCAACCAGACAAAGAAGGTATTTCAGAATAACCTGTTTTATCAGATTTTGGAAGTTGGTAGTCAAGAATTTTTCAGCACCTCCTCATATATTATCAGTGTTCTATATTATCAGTGTTCTAATCTCTTATTTTGCCTAATTTATGAATTAAACTTCTTCTCAATATGTTTAAATGCGTACATCCATAGAATTCAGTGCAATGTGTATTTTTTTCGGCATCTACACTGCAGATAAAGGGAGATAACTGTACTATAATTAAGCTTTATCCTATGATCTTTGTCACAATAGTTAATATACTATTATCATCGATATGGCCTAATAAGATAGGCTTAATTTCAAAATAGTAATGAGTGCATGGTCAAATCGTTAGTAAATTAGTGATTTGGACAGAGAAGAAAAATTGTTTCAAGAACAATTACATTAAAAAATAGATGTGAAAATTAAAGATTTAAGGATTTATCTGCCTAAAATTTTTTTTTCATTAATGTTCACCTGATACAAGACCCAAGAGCCACTCAAGTTAGAGGGTTACTGAAGTAGGTTATGTGAACAGTAAAAGGTAATAGCCACAGTTTATGAAAATATATGGGAAAGATAATGGTTAACTCTTAACAGGTTAAGATTGTAATGGTTGGTAAAGCATCATCTTTGGAGTCAGTTCTACAAAGTAGCAGTTCCAGGAGACAACTGTTTGGGAGGAACTTCTTACTAATTGAATACAAAAGAGATGAGGGTGATTTGCCTCAATGTATGTGGGGTGGCAGATCTTACTTGTGAGGGTTTGAACTGAAGAAACTAAGGAATTTTGCTTGTCAGAACATTTTTCTATGCTAATATCAATAGAGTAGTAACAGGGTAGCAATCTTTTGTCTATGCGGAAAGGGGGAGTGGGGTTGTAGGATGATTTTTCAAGTTATAAAGTTTTGTTTTATACTTTTAAGCGATATGATTACATTCTAGTTTATTTGCATTCAATACTAAGCTTTACTTTTTAAATCGGTTTTTATTTAAAGTTTCGTAAATCATTTTTATTTAAAAATTTTTGGAAATTTTTTTATTATTGAAAATGTTTGGAAATCATTTTTTTTATTTGAAATTTCTGGAAAATCATTTTTTTAATTTGAAATTTCTGGAAATCATTTTTTTAATTTGAAATTTCTGGAAAACATTTTTTTTATTATTTAAAATTTTTGTAAACCATGTTTTTTATTATTTAAAATTTTTGTAAACCATTTGTTTTTATTATTTAAAATTTTTGTAAACCATTTTTTTTTTTTATTATTATTTAAAATTTTTGAAATAATTTTTCTCTTTTTTTAAAATAAGGATGTTGATACCATCTACTTGTCACATGATACTAAGGAGCTTCGGCTGAAAGACTTTGATCATTTACAAAGCAGGTAAGATTCTGTTTCATATGATAGGTAACATGGGTGAATTAAAAAATGTTTGTTGAACAATACACAACAGTAAATAGATCCTTTACCACAATCAGAACTTCCAAAAACTGTAGGCATTGGTTTTTTTTTATTTTGGTTGGCATAGGGAACTGGTAACATTTTCAGTTACCCTCGTTCATGTCCTAAAGGATGTATTAACATTAAAGGAAGAAGGAGCAGATACAAATTCTGTCTCAGGAACAAAATTCTGTTTCTCTACAATCATAACAGCACAGAATATTCAGATAGTCCTCAAGTTACCATTATGACCATGTCCATCATAAGGTAAATATCTACTGTGGTCCATTCACTGCCTAAGTGTGACTGGTACAGTGTAACCCAGTATTATCTGCTGAATGGTCAGTTCATTGGCAATTATACTGGTGGAGAATGTGGCTAGCTACCCAGCACAGAGATTGAGCTCACAATCTTTAGTCAACCAGCTATAGACTTTAGTTTTTAATGGAAATATCACCCCTGTTGACTGGAATAAGATCACCCAGTGGAGCTCGTTGAAACTTAAGCTTTATCTCGCTAGTCAGTTTTTTTCTGCTTTAACTCCACTTGGGATGTTTTGCTAGCTGATCAGCTGGTCAATTGCAGCGAAAGACAAGCAGAGAGTGGGGGGGGGGGAGAAAAAAAGATGACTAGGAAGTTAAAATGAACAGAGATTATAAAAGCAAAGACTATTTCTTAATTTAAAACATCAGATGAACCTTTGCAAAATTTGAACCTTCTATCCTCGATAGAAGCAGATAGGTTCACACACCTCTCCAATCTTTTGAACAGGAGTAGAAGTTTATCTCTTGTTTCCTGTTTAGGATTGGGTTTCCACTTCCTTCTAAAGTCGTCTTCAGTTTTTCTCTCCTCCACCAATTGGAGTAGATAGGTATGACAAATGTATCGTAGTCTACATGGCAATATAAACTTTCTTTAAACTTAATAACTCTAAAACAAAGGCTTTGTGGACATATATTTATATGAACTTTTGTCCTTGTTTTGGTGTGAGGAACCTGCCCACAAAATTTGTAAAAGTATTTTTGCTTCTCTCTCTCTCTCTCTCTATATATATATATATATATATATATATATATATATATATATATATATATATATTTTAATATTTTTTATTTAAAAAATATTTTACATCTCAACACAGAAATTTCTGTTTCATTTTTTACCAATGCACTATTTCACCTACTGAAAACCCAGATATTAATAAATATTGGAAGTACAAAAAACTCTTTTAAATGAAGATCGTATCAACATATTTCTTTTAAAAACAGTGGGTACTGTAACCGAACATCTCTCTCTAAATATTTTGGGTATTTAAAAGAAATTAATAAAATCCCCACAGTAAAATGGAAAATATTAAAAAAAAAAAAAAAATGAGAATTTTAAGTCATTAAATGACCCATATCCCCTGTCTACATGAAAAGCTGCATGTTATTAAGTTGCTAAAAAATAATGATCTATTAAATCAGTGGAATGAACTAACTGTAATTTGTCATTGTATAATGTTTATTTTAAAATGTAAATTGAATTTTTCATTGAAAAAAATCTATGTGTTACAATTATATATCCATTATTTTATTATATATAATATTTAATTAATTCCTTGATTTTTAATTTTAATATTGCCATGTCTTATGGCTCATTGAATATAATAAGTATTGTATTTTAGGATCAAAATAATAGATTATATATAAAAATGATTTAATTATACTATAAACCCCTTTAAGATAGTTCCAAAGTATATACAAAATAATTTAAAAAAAAATATAATCCTGAAATTAACTTATATATATATATATATATATATATATATATATATATATCTGATTATTTCATTGTATTGTAAAAGTATATTTCTTAACTAGATGTAATGGTGACACATCTGAAAATGACAGTTTATCTAGACAAGTATGAATAACACACACACCCCTAACCTGCAACCTATATTTTTCATTTTTCTGCTTTAGCTTTGACCTGTCTTTTGATTGGTCAAATTTGGACATACCCATAAAATGTTAAAATATTGTTTCCCCCACTCCTTCTTATCTCTTTAATAAAATACCATTCTGTTTTCAAAAGTAAATCATTTTCATCAAAAGTTACCTAACATTGTTTGATAATGGAACAAATTTAAAGTTCTGAAACAGAAATTTCCACGCCACAATGTAAAATATTTTTTAAATAAAAGATATTATTAAAATAGTATGCTGTTTGTTGTATTGAGCACTTTTTTAAAAAAGTAAATGCAAATGAACTGTGGATTGTTAATCTGTTATTTCTCTTAATTTATATATATATGTGTGTGTGTGTGTGTGTGTATATATATATATATAAGAAAAAACAGACCACTTTAAGGTACCATTATAATAATTTATTTCACCAGAGCTCTTTTAAAGGATGCCGGATCATCAGATAGCACTTCTAAAAATGAAATGAAATTAAAATTGATGGGTAGTGTAAGTTTTTGTAATTTAACAGAGTGTAAAATGGGTAGTTAAAGAGACATGGTAGAGTATAGAGTTCATATCTCTCTCAAGCATACTTTGTATTGGGGGAGGAGGAGTGACCAGACCTTGACCTATTTAGACGGTTAACTTAATGGAAGTGATAAGGGAGAAAAGTAAAAGGAAAAAAGAAAGAAGAGAGAGAGAGAAGTAAAGAGAAAGAGGCTGTAATTGGGTTTTAGCAATTTATATAAAGAATAGATTTTAATGTTTGATAGTAATTTAGATGTCTAAAAAACCCAAATAAATTAATTTGATGTTTGCTATCAATTTAAATATTTAATTTTTTTTAAACAAATAGTTTAAGGATTTAATATAAGTTAAATACTATATTTATTAACACATTTATAGAGAACATATTAAAAAAATATTTTAAATTATAACAGTTTGTTTACCTGACCAATCATACTTTTTTAATATTGTAAAAAATAGTTACAGTAACATCTTTAAATCTAATTTATGAATGCAATTTGTAATTATTTTTATATGGGTAATCTTTCTTACTTAAAGTTTAGGTTTATTTATATATATATATATATATATATATATATATATATATATATATATATATATATATATATATATGCACACATTCATTCAAATGTTTGATACTTAGTTGATTGATGTTACCTTCATCATCCTGACTCCAGAGTTTTGTAAATGGACCTTCTGGGAATTACTCCAGCCACTCTTCAGGGGTTATTAGCAATTCACTGCTTATACTTGATTTTTTCTTTTTTATATGCACTTTTCATTGGTGAAATCTTTTTTTTTTTTTCTTCACATATTTGTGCACACACTCAGGATTTTATTTATTTATTTTTTTTTTTTTTTCACTTTACACTGACTTCTTAAACTTTTTTCTCTTTTTAAAGCAACTAAAACAGAAAAATTCCTAATTGAAACAATAAAAGTAAACCCTCATTTTAGTTTTTTTCATGAACTCTGCCAAACTCAATACAAGGTGACCTGTAGTGCAATTTAATTTTATGTTTAAAATAATAAATATTAAGAACACGTGGATGATTTGAATTTTGCCATTAAGCTTGTCAGCTGCTGTATGTCTCTAATATTTCATCCCCTCAGATCTCACAAACTACATGACTACTTGGACAGCCAGAAATTTTGTATAATAATAATAATATGCTCATGCCACCAGAATAAAGGCATAAATACTCCCCTGTGTGTGTTTACATGGAGGTTTTCCAGGTTACATAACAGACAATTAAAAATAAAAATGTTCTGGTTTTATTTATTTATTTTTTTTTTTAAATATATGCCTATATTTCTGAGATGATGTATTGTAACTGTTTGCACTATTTACATTGTTTGGACTGTTGTGTTCTTATCTTTATTGTCATATTCACAATGTTTCATCCGCTGTACACTCCGGCCTTCTTCAGGATCTGTCTATATTTCTGAAATGAGGTATTGTAACTATTTACATTGTCGATTGACTGTTGTCTTCATCTTTCTTGCCATATTCAGCCTTTTTCAAGTGATATACATTGGAATTTTGAACTGAAACCTTTTAGTCCACAGGGGTAGATTGTTCTAATTCCACATACCATGCCTCTTTTTGGATATCTCAATATCAGTTGCAGAATGATGTAAATAGTTCTTTTCTTTTAATAATACTCAGTGTCTCTTATTTTCTTTTTCTTAAATATAATTATTTCTCTTTAAGTATCTTTTAAAAGTAATTTTTTTTTTTTTTTTTTTTTTTTTTTCAGAGATTGGTTGCCAATTATATCAACTTTGGAATACAATTCTTGGTTTACTGGAATTAATGCCAATAATGTTAGACTTGTAAGTTACATAACCATCTTTTTTGTTTTATTTTCACTCTTAATGGCAAAATTATCAAGTCTTTTTAATTCTTTACACAATATTCAGATGCTTAAAATCTTGTTCATGTCAGAAGAATTTCAATAAGTCTCATTAGTATATAATTATTTACCATTGTCTTACAAGTGCTTTTATAATGATCTTTACTAAATTAGTACTTGTGAGGAGTAGGGAGGTAAGCTTTTTTTCTTTTCTTTTTTTAATAGCCATCTCCTTTCAAGATGTAGGCAGTCATGTCTCTTTGTTGCTTTTCTTCATTATATGTATTTTTTTATCAAATTTATCCCAAGCAAGGCAGTAAAGCCACTAAGACACAAGGGCTTACTGGGTGAAAAAGAATTAGAAAACATTATGAAAGAACAAACACAATAGAAAAGTAATCAGCAGCACAGTAGTGATTGACATTGCATTTATCATTTTGAAGATCAAAGTTGGTTAGAAAGCAAGAATCCAAACTAGAGTTCCACAAGTGAGAAGTGCAAGAAAAGAAACTGTTAGCATAGAACTTATAGTTACATCTAGCCATTTCAATGGCAAAGAGAGTAGATAATGATTGACATTATATTCAAATTTTTGAAAATCAAACTTGACTTAAAAGCAAGAAGAGAGTTCCACAAGGAAGAGAACTGCAAGAAAAGAAACTACTAGCATAGAACTTAGTTACATCTAGCCAATTCAACTGTAAATTGATGAGATCTTGTAGCCAATCTAGTACTGTGCTTAAATTCATATAGTCTAGGTACCATAGTGGAGAGCTTATTTGAACAATTACATGAAAGTATTTATAGAAAACACACAGAGGAAGCAACTTTACAGTGGTTGGAAAGTAACTGAAGCCTAGATGCCAAGTCAGGGCCAATAATATTGCTGATTCTTCTTTAGATTTTATCAAGGAGCTCTAGATAACTAGCAGGAGCACCAGACCATATGCGACAGCAATGTCTGAATCATGGACAAATGGTAGACTTATAGATAGATTCTGGAGAGAAGAATTGTCTAGCATGACACAGTGAACCAACTTTTTAGCAGCTGACCTAGCAATGAATTTCCACTTCATGTCAGTTGAGAATGTTAACCAGAGAAGGTGCAATGATTCACTCTCCTGGAGGTTAGCATCTGTCATGCTCATGGAAAGCAGAAAGGAGGCCTTCTCTGAAACTAGCTACTGTTAACCCAGTCTACTTAACACATAATTTAACAGTGAAAGGGGAAACATCTCTGAACAAAAGATTAGTAACAGAATGACAGACAACAAAGGACAAGAGCCTATTTCAAGACCAAGTTGAAAGATGATGATCTCTTAATAGACAAAGGTATCTGAGTGCCTCACATGAAAGGCTTGAATGAATAAAACTGCAATTTAAGAAACAGGAGTAAAGAAACTGATTAATTGGTTCATTCTGCTCAGAAAGAAATTTTGTCAAAATACAAATAAATAATTTATTTGTGTAAATTAAAATGACTGAATGAAGTAATCTGTCATAAATTCACTAATTTAAGTTGATTTACCTCCCTTCTCACTACAGATGAGACAGGAAATATATAAATGAATAAACATTTCAACTGTAAATTGATAAGACCTTTCTGCCAATCTAGTACTGCGTTTAAGTTAATATTTGTAATGATGTTGTCATATATTATGGCAGAGTATATATGGAGAGGGTTATAGTGGGTTGAACATTGAGAGCTGTTATTTACTGGGTGGATTTGGGTGAGTTGAATGTTCAAGGGTAAAAGGTCATGATTTTTTTTTTCATTTTTAATTCATTTTTTTTTTTTTTTAATTATCAGACAAATGACGTTGCCACAGAAGTTGTTAAAGTTATGAAAAAGAATTCAGTTTTGGAAGAACTGAGTGTCAGCAACACTGGGATAAAATCGTAAGGAAAATTTAATAACATTTCTTATTTTGATAATTTTAAAGATTCTGTAAATTGTAGAGTGGGGAAATAAACTTTTTTTTTTTTTTTTAATTTTAAAAAATTTTAAATTTTAATTTTAGAAAATTTTTAATTTAAAGAAATTTAATGAAAAATATGTTTTTAAATTTAAGTTTTTTTTCATATTTTAAACAGTTAAAAAATGTGTTAAAAATTTAAATTCATTACAAAGCAACAGCCACCAGCTTGTGTGTGTGCACACACACACACACACAATGAAGTAGATGTGGTGGCTTAATGAAAGCCCAAGATTTGAATCTGAAAGATAATATTATTTAACGTAATATTTTGTCAGTTACACTTGGCCACAAATTTGAATTCCAATTGGGTTCATTACATTCGCTTATATGCAAATACCCATGTTAAAGGTATAAATCTATCTCCCCCTAACTATGGGCTAAATAAAACTTGTATCTGGAAAAATCATTCTCTCTAAAAAACATTGTCAGTACAATATTTGCTTGCAAAAGGAAAATAGAATTATTCTTACAATGCAAAAGTGTTTTGGCTTTAAATACCCCCCCCAAGGGATTATAATCCATAAAAAACAAATATGTCTTCCAAACTCTTGGCCTGAGCCTTCATCCAAAATGAGGTCCTTACATTCTTGGTGTCAGGAACCTGTCCCCCAAAGTTCATAAAACTATTTTTGGTTAGTATGTTGGATTCTACATTTAACACTGAGTACCATAAACTTTAAACTTAATAATTCAAAAACGAAGGATTTGCAGACAGATGTTTATATGGACTTTTGTCCTTGTTTTGGTTTGAGGAACCCACCCCCAAAGTTTGTAAAAATTATTTTTGATACACCCTCTCTCTTTCTCTCTCTTATAGCTGGGCTAGTATCACACTTAAGAAAACACAAATGAAATATGTCTTTTGCTTACCTGATTTTCTACACAATAGCCTCTGCCAGCATGCATAAATGTAAAACGAAAGGCACCATCCAATGCTAACCCTCATTTATCATTCATGATAGAAGAGTCTACCATATGTAAAGAGAGAGGGAAAAAGAATGAGTAAAATATATAAAGAGAGAGGGGAAAAAGAATGAGTAAAATATATAAAGAGAGAGGGGGAAAAAGAATGAGTAAAATATATAAAGAGAGAGGGGGAAAAAGAATGAGTAAAATATATAAAGAGAGAGGGAAAAAAAGAATGAGTAAAAATATATAAAGAGAGAGGGGAAAAAGAATGAGTAAAATATAAAAAAGAGAGGGGGAAAAAGAATGAGTAAAATATATAAAGAGAGAGGGGAAAAAGAATGAGTAAAATATATAAAGAGAGAGGGGGAAAAAGAATGAGTAAAATATATAAAAGTAAAGATATATATATATATATATATATATATATATATATATATAAAAGAGAAAAGAAAAAGAATGAGTAAAATATATATATATATATATATATGAGAGAGAGAATGAGTAAAAAATATATATATATATATATATAATGAGAGAAGAATAGTAAAATATATATATATATATATAAATATATATATATTTATTTATTAAAGACATTTTTATGTTTAACGTTGTTATTTTATAGATACAATATTTAAGCAAATGCTCTGTTTATGATAAACAGTATTAAATAACATTTACCGGTTATATAGGATGGTTCGAATCCTGTCAAAGAACGAATATTTTCTATGAAAATTTCTGGACATTCAGGCCGGTAAATGTTATTTAATACTGTTTATAAATATTTACTTGTATTATAAATAACAACGTTAAACATAAAATGTCTTTAATAAATAAATTGTCGGACCTTTGTCCATTTTTAATATATATATATATATATATATATATATATATAATAAGAGAGAGAATGAGTAAAATATATATATAATGAGAGAGAGAATGAGTAAAATATATATATAATGAGAGAGAATGAGTAAAATATATATATAATGAGAGAGAGAATGAGTAAAATATATATATATATAATGAGAGAGAGAATGAGTAAAAATATATATATATAATAAGAGAGAGAATGAGTAAAATATATATATATATATAAGAGAGAGAATGAGTAAAAATATATATATATATATGAGAGAGAATGAGTAAAAAATATATATATATATATATATAATGAGAGAGAGAATCAAAAATATATATATATATATATATATATAATGAGAGAGAAATAGTAAAAATATATATATATATATATATATATATATATAACGAGAGAGAGAGAATGAGTAAAATATATATATATATATAATGAGAGAGAGAATGAGTAAAATATATATATATATATATATATATATATATATATATATATATATAACGAGAGAGTAAAATATATAGATTACTATAAGTTAGTGAACAAAATCACCTTTGTATGAAGTGCTTATTACTAAAATTATTTTGTTTTGTTGTAGAGATTTGGTTCAAAAGTTGTCTGTTGCCTTGCTCTCCAACAGCGGAACCCAGCTGGCCAAAGTTGACCTTTCTTGCAATGTCCTGGATGATCGAGGTTAGTGTACAAAATTGTTATTTCCAAGATGCTACCAAAACCATCACCAGAATTTGAGCAGACTGCAAAATCTCTTCATGTATCAAATTACTCAGTTTCTCATGTCTTCTTGGACATTCTACACATCTCTTCTCCAGAACGAGGAAGAACTTCATTTTCCATAAATTTCTTTCCTTTCTTTCAGAAAAGCTCTTTCATGTCTTACATTTGATGATTTTTCAAGTACAATTTCATGCATTGATTGTTTTACAAATTTAATCTTTCAATTTATTTAAATAACCGTTGGAAACTGAGTTGGAATATTTTTTTAAATGCCACGTCTCTTCAGGGTGGAGGCAATCTTGACTCTATGAATTCCTTTTTATTATTTCGGAATTGCCATGAGTTTTTGGTAAAGGTAGTGGCATGATTTCCCGTTGCTTTCTCTGTGATTTGGAATTCAGTTTTCCTTTTCTTAGATTGGTAAACCTGAATCAAACTCAACAAATTGCATAACTTAAAGAATCTATTTGAAAATAACCATCCAAATAACACCATAAATTTCATTTAAGAAATTCGTCTCTACAGGAAAATATTAAAAAAAAATCCAAAAAACCTGTTTATGAAATCTGCTTATCTACTGTTATACCATACCTATGGAGGATAATGGGTATGTTCCAATTTCTATAAATACAGTGCTATATTACTGTATGTTGTCTTTCACTTGGGAATTCACTTCCAAGTGTGCTTGTCAAACTCTCTGTCTCCAGGCAGAGAGGAACTCAGACGAGGCTATGCTGAAAGGCAGTCTCTTGTCTGGGGTGGTAGACAGCTACTTGACCCCATTTTTTACGGTGTCTACGGGGAATTTTTGTCTGAGCCTGTAGGCTCGGATACCCCACAATAAACTCAGCCTTGTGTCACATCCGACTGGGTGGGGCAGTTAGTGAATATCTTCCACTTGGGAGTCACTTCCAAGTGTGCTGGTCAAACTCTCTGCCTCGAGGCAGAGAGTATCCCAAGACGAGGTTATGTAGAAGGGCAGAGTCTCGTCTCAGGAAACAGCTACCCGACTTTGTTTTCTACTGGGTATATGGGGAATTTTTGACCAAGCTTATGGGCTTGTATACTCTACAATAAAACTCAGTCTTGTGCCACATCTAACCACGTGCGGTGGTTAGTGGATATCTTCCACTTGGGATTCACCTTGACTCACTTCCAGCTCACCACTAGCAGTTGATTACTTACTTCATGCCGCTGGCAAATCGTGTATGTTTTTTTTCCTGTTATAAATATTCTCGTTCATTTCCAACCTATGTTTTGGTTATTGTGGGTAATTCAGTTCGCCGTTGTCTGCGATGACTGAAATGGATTAAAGTGCTCGCTTTCGTCCGGTCCTCCAGTCTACCATCTGAGCTGTTGCGAGTGACCTCTTATTCTCTCAGTCTCATTAGTATGCACATATGCCATCACGCCAACAACACCATCCCTGTCTTCCACACAGACTCGCTATTTATGTCTGCGTTGGGGGCAACTAAAATTTGCATACGAGACTTCTTGTTCATCCGAGACTTCCGATTTTATAAATTCACGCGGGTTTGAATTCTTAGTCTTTTTTATTTTTTTCCTTTGTACATCTGCCTGCAATATAGGAATTTCGGAATAATCTATTTCTCTTTTAATGCCAGTCGTGATTTTTCAACAGAACCTGACACACTGTTATGGAGTGTTTTCACAGTGGAGGCTTGTATTTGTACTAAGTCGGTCCTAAAAAAGGTTCAACGTACAAAACGTTAGGAACTTCATATAATAGGTATGACACAGAGTAAATCTAGTTGTGGTCGCTGATACTTTAGTATCCGACTAACGGTCATCTGGCATTGACTGACTGAGCGACTTAGCGACTGACTCGTTACTCTTACTACTCCTACTTATTATAGGTGGGAGAGTCTATTAACTATAGAATAGGTGTGTTCCTCTATAACACACACCAAGCAAATTCGCTTTGTGGGAGGTAAGGTTTCTTGTTTTTCAGTTATTCTTATTCCTGGGTTACAACATCTACATTGTTTTGCAACCTATTTTGGAAGGAAAAGTTATTTCCAGCAATACATTTTTGAAGAAAAAAATATTACCAGCATTACATTAGACTCTCAACAAAATCCCTCTTTATAAAATATGTCAATGAAACCTGAGATACAAAATGACTCCTTACAAAGAATACATACTCTGTTCATACAAACCTATCAGAAAAGTCTTGTCCTCATTAAATAACCCTTCGAGGTGATATGCTGTTAAACTAAATAAACTTAGATTGCTTGCCATCTAAGTCTAGAGAAGCCAGTCTACCCTTCTATTTAACTCCTAGTTGAGCAGTAGAAGAGATGGCTTTCTCATGGGCATTTGTGCAAAAGTGAATGCAACAGACTAGGCTGGGATTTGAACTTGGCTCTCCGATTCCATTTTTCACATCAATATCCATTGCACAGTGCATTGCTGCAAGAATAAAAAGAATTAACCAGTTCCTAAAGTCCACCGACTGTATCCTAAATTCAAAGAATATAGTGTCTAGAATGTCGCAGTAAAAAGATCCGATGAAGGTCATAGCCTGAAACCTATAAGAATAAGAAACAAAACTTATCCAGTGATGTTTGGCTTTATTAACAAAATATTTTGACCGAAGCTAAGATATTGTACAGTCAAAGAACCAAAGAGATTCAGCATCTAAATAACATTGGGCATGTTAATGATTCTTCTGAACATTGTAGACAATGCAAGATGAAAAAAAAAACAGTAACCTTGATTGAATGATTTGTTTTTTACAGCTTATCAACCTTTTCGAGGTTATTTTAAAGTCAGAAAATATTTTTAGCTTATAAGAACTTTTTTTGGAGATAACAATTTACTAATACAAGTCCTACAACTTAACCCATAGCTGGAGGGAGAATAGGTGGATTAATATCTTCTTTCTCAAGGGTATTTGCACGTAATTGAATATAACAAACCTGACTGGAATTGGAATTCTGCTCTCTAATTTTCCAATTCTATGTTACCTGCACATTCAAGCTTACAGAACCTGGTATTCCCTAGCAGTCACTCATCTAGGTACTACTGACCAGGCTTGCCATTGCTTAACTTTGGTGATCCTATGAGAATAGATGTTTCAAGCCAATACTTATCTTAAACACTCTCTTTGTCCTATGACGGTCATCACATTTGCATATATAATTTGCACACAAAATGTACCAACTATTATAGGATAAAATGAATTTGCAAGTGGTGTAACAGATATCAGTGTAGAAAGTGGAATATGTGAACAGTTCAAATTCTAGGCTAGTCAATTGCATTAAACTTTCATGCATATGCCTTTGAGAAAGACATGAAGCTGTTTCTTCTTTCCTCCTCTGTGGATTAAATAAATAGATTAGCATCAATTGGCGACCATTCTAAGAGAAGAAAAACTCTGAATCATAAACTGAAGAAGATAATGGTTAACTACTCCATTATCTTTCGTAAAAAATTCCTTGTAATTCACAGATAAAAGAACTGGATCTGTGTAGATCTGTGATCACCTACATCTGGAAGGGACATGGAATTAAAAATATAAAACACACATGGACACATGGCACAGTGGATAAAGGCGTTGATTAGATCCAGTGACAGGATCCAAACAGTGTGAGTTCAATACCCGGTTAAGGCAGTGGAGAACTTGGAGAGGGGAATTAACAGGAGATAACTGATAACTGACATCCATTAGACATGGCATGTGGAACTAGGACAGTCAACCCCAGCGAGCAAAATAAAGGGTTCAGTTCAACATTCCAACCACCTGAAGAAGGCCGGAGTGTACAACGGCCGAGATGTTGTAATAAATATGGCGACAAAGATGACGACAATAGTCTGAATAATGTAAATAGTGTACATAATACCTCATCTCAGAAATATAGACAGATACAAAACAGAGAGTAAGAAATTTTTTTATCACATTGCTTACATATTAGTGATGGGATGATATCAATATGCTTACCAATTCTGATACAATTACCGATACTGTTCTAAATTTATGATACAATTCCTGATTCCGATTCCTACAATGATTAAAATTCATTATTTTCTGACCCTACAGTTGGTTTGGGGAAACTTGAGCAAAGTACATTTATTAATAAAATATTTAGTAGAAAAATGAATACAAAAGCATATGAAATAAAGTTAGACATCTTTTTTTTTTTTATTTAAAAAATTGGGTCAGTGTTTAAACAATAAAGAGAACAATTTCTTAATGTAAATCACTTAAGTAAGTACCTAGCTACAGTTGACATATTGCTTTATTTTGGTTATCATCAGAAATCTTAAAAGCCTTCCAAACTACACTTTTCTGCTTGGCATTGGATCCACTTGCCATAATTGGGGTCTGGAAATAAACATCAGTTAAAATTTAAATTTTTCACTGTTAGATAAAACTGTTTCTAGTTTTCTAGTGTGTATAATTTTAAAGATTCAATTAATAATGCTTTGCTGTTTATTGTAAAATAAAAAGGGTTTATTTTTTGTCCACCTTTTTTAAGTTTTAATAAGCAAAGGTGCCCTCTAAATATTATGCAATCTCCTTAAAATTTTATGTGGCATTTTTTCAATGAATGGAACAAATTTAGGGGTAACAATTCAATCTCAGCATGCACTTCAAAAGTAAGAGACACTAATAAATAAATAAATATATATATATATATATATATATATATATATATATATATATATATATATTCCAACAATAATACTCTAAGCAGAAAGGCATCATCCTCTGTATTGTGGTTTAACTCATATATTTTGATGTACAAGGAGTATGTAATATTATTTTGATAAAGTACAAGGAGTATGTAATTATGTATATTTTGATAAAGTACAAGGAGTATCTAATCCTCCCGGAGAATGAATAAAAAAAAAAAACAAATGCAAATTTTAAATTTGCTTACAGACATTTAATAAAAATTAAATATTGTCTTAAGAGCTTGGCAGAAGAACAGTGTAAATTCATTTTGTGTTTATATTATATTACATAATTATTATATTATAATAATATTACATAATTGTAATTATAATTACTAAATTAATAACTTATAATATTAAATGGGCAGATTAACAATGTTTAAAAAATAAATAAATAATTTTATTTTGAACTAAAAACAAACTTTAAACTAGCGAACTTTATGAAAAGTTTGAGAACTGAGTAAAAACTTTTTTTTTTTACACAAGTAAAATAAATTTACATCATACTTAGATGTTATTATGATCTATAGATTTTAGTTTTACTGATAGTTTAAAATCAGAAAATATTTATATCTTTTTATCATTCATACCAGGAATGGAAAATTAAGTTTTAAACAACAAAAAAAAAAAAAACAAAGAATCATTTTGGTGATCAAAAATTAGTTTAGAAATTCTCCAATTCCGATACCCCAAAAAGTTGATATTTTCAATTCTTGATTCCAATTAATCATTCCAGCACATATATATGACAAAGTGAAGAAAAAAATGTTGTGTAATCCGTTTTGTCCTTAAGGACTTCATCATACTAAAGTGTTGTTTACATTGATATGATTACACATAAACATGAAGGAGAGGGGACACTGATTTTACAATTTTTTTTTTTTTTTTGTGTGTGTGTGTTTTGGGTTTATAATCTAGCCTATTTCATTTAGTTTCTTTGAGTTTATTTCTATCATATTTTTTCCCCCATATATGTTTGAGTTTTTGATACAAAATCTACAAGGCTATATTTACTACTTTCAGGTGTGATTCATTTCCTTGGTTCTTTGAGTAAATTGAGCCGTGGATTGACTGATCTTGATTTATCAAAGACTGGTCTCACTGGCAAAGGCATCAACAAATTAGCAGAGACCATGTGTGGCAGCAGCGTAATAAGAAATTCTTTGAAAACGCTCAAAATTAGTGACAATCCAGTGAAAGGAGATGATGTCACAGTAAGTATTTTTTTTTTTTTTTTTTTTGTTACTCTTTACTTTTCTGGAATGATTTCATAAACAATTGGAAAAAAAAATATTTTGCTTTCATCTCATTTTATAATGTAAAAGAATTACATTCATGATGTGTGCATATAATTTAACATTTTTCTTGGAATGTTTTAACTGAGGAGTTGTTAGTATTTGTAAATGCTTGATTTAGTCTTGGTACCTCCAATGCCTAAGATTTATAAGAAATTTTTAAAATAAAAAAAAAACTTTCTTGAAACTTTTAGTTTACATTTCAAGTTAATAGATTAAATTTAATCTTTCCAATAAGCAAAATACTTTGCTGTATTTCAAAACTGATTTAAATTGACACTTTTTGCTTCTCTTTTTCTTTTTGATTCAACACCATCACTTGATAAGACACCAAAATTGTTGAAACAAAATGGCTATTTTTGTAGTGATTTTATAACATATTTATGTTATAATTTTCAAACAAATTATATTTGCTCTACTCTGTATTGAGCACTCTTTTAAAAATAGTATTTTTTGGTTATTGGAATTTATACCATATACACCAATCCTATACTTGGTCTTTATTTAATGATAATGTTATTAAGATTATCAGACATTATGAAAAGAATTTACATAAAATAAATAGACAACACTTGTCTATATTATTTAATGAAACCTGTATATATGAAAAAAATCTATCTATCTATCTATCTATCTATCTATCTATAGTATGCATGTATTCATTGCCATACTGGAAGCCACTATTATATCTCCACTTCCTTAACCGGGTATTGAACTCACACTCTTTGGGTCCTGTCACTGGATCCAACCAACACCTTTATCCACTGTGCCATGTGTCCTTGAGGACACATGGCACAGTGGAGAACTAGGAGAGGGGAATTAACAGGAGATAACATGACACGTGGAACTAGAACAGTCTACTCCAGTGAGTGAAATAAAGGGTTCAGTTTGACATTCCAACCACCTGAAGAAGGCCAGAGTGTACAACAGCCGAAACGTTACAATAAATATGGCGACAAAGATGAGGACAATAGTCCGAATAATGTAAATAGTGTAACATAATACCTCATCTGAGAAATATAGACAGACAAAAAAAAGTCATTCTCATACAACGACACATTCACCATGTGTATTGTTTACAGTCATCACTCGTCTGATTTTGTTTGTATAGCAATGACATACTATTCAAAAGCAGAAAGGCTCCCACTGCTGCTAGTAAACAGAGCATGTTTAAGCTTGTGGCTCAGCTCCAGGAAGGTTTATAGTCTTGGAAATACTTGTAACAGCTAAGTACTGAGGTTACATCATATAAAAGGCTTAATGAGATAGATAGCTAACATTATAGTGTAATGACTCAACATACAAATCCACGTCCCTATCAGTGAAGCCAATTAAGTGGTTGTCAAAGTTTACTTGAGCCTGAGTGTTGCCTTACATTTGTCTTGGAAGATGCACATGTATTTTTTCAGGAAAAAAAGTGCATCTTGTAAGCCGGAAAATACGGTAGTTTATCATGCATAAAGACACGCTTGAAGACGAGTGAAGGGTACAAATAGTCAAAATGTTGTGAGTATAACAGCCAAGACACCTCTCAGCTTTGTTAACATCTTGGGACAGTTTGATATTGCCATTGAAAAGACACTAGCAGCTGGTGTCACTACTGCAAGGGAAATGACTCTAATACACTAAAATATGTTAGATATTACAGAAAAAAAAAAACACTCAGTTGGAATTACATTACACACATTATCTCAGTCCTGTAATAGCTGCTACCTTTACATAGACATTACAGTGATTAAATGTAACAATTGTTATGGGACAGATGTAGTATTCGGAAATTATGTTTAGGATTGCATTTCAGTTCCTTCTAAAGTTTACTTCAACTCTATACTCCTAACATCTCCGCCAGAGCTCTGAAATTCGTGAATTAAATCTTGACTTCTTCAAGTTTAGAATTAGCTGTCAATCTTTCCTGTTATCGTACCCTTTCTTACGCTAATACAGTAACTTTATACCTTGATTGGCCCTTGGGCCTTGTATTAGATGAACATTAGTGTAAAAAAAAAAAAAAAAATCTTTTCTGTTCAACTCCTTATATAAATGATCATCTTCCACTTTTCATTGACAAGATTAACTTATGATGTTTATTTCTCATAAGCAATTCACCTTTGTATACCTATGTTTCATCGGGAACCCTGAATGTTATCCCTTTAAGTAAACAAAGATAGCCAATGTCCAGGGTTAATTAAAATCTGTCTAATAAGTGATGGATTGATAAATAAAATGGAGACATCAAATGTAAAGCAACTTTCATTATAGATGAAAATAGACTTATGTTTTTCACCAACTTGAGAAAATAGTGGGTTCTCTCTTCTTCAGAAAGTGGGGAGGGGTCTCTCACCCTCACTCACACACCCTCCCTTCAGAAAGTGAGGAGGGGTCTCTCACCCTCACTCACACACCCTCCCTTCAGAAAGTGAGGAGGGGTCTCTCACCCACACTCACACCCTCCCTTCAGAAAGTGAGGAGGGGTTTCTCACCCTCACTCACACACCCTCCCTTCAGAAAGTGAGGAGGGGTCTCTCACTCACACACCCTCCCTTCAGAAAGTGAGGAGGGGTCTCTCACTCACACACCCTCCCTTCAGTAAGTGGGGCAGTCTCTCACCCTTCTTCCCTCCCTCTCTCCCTTCAGAAATTGGATGAATCTCTTGCTGTCACTCCTTAAATTGTGTGTGGCAGGTTGTTGTTGCCTCTCCCTCCAGAAGGTGGGGGTTTCTCCACCTCTCTTTCTTAAATTCCTCATTCAGAAAGTGGGGTGTCTCTGGCCCTACTCTTATCCACTTCCCCCTTTAAGAAAATGGAGGTCTCTGTCCCTCCCTTCAGAAAGTGGTGGCCTGTCAGCCTCCATCCATCCTCCTTTCAGAAAGTGGGGTATCTGGCCCTCCCTATTAAGAAAAAAAAGGAGATATACACATATAAGTAAAAACCTTATCTTTTTATTTATATTTATTAATTTTTTTTAATTTAAAAAATTTTTTTTTTTTTTTTCAGAATTTGTACAGGTTTTTATCTTTGCCAAATGTATTGACACACTTGGACTTTTCTGGTTTGGAGATTCCTTTGGAAGTGGTGAGATTTCTTTCAATTCCTTCATTTGTATTTATTTACTTTTTTTTTTTTTTTTTTTTTACATCATGTTTTTGTGGATTTTTAGTTTTATTTTCTTCACATTTAAAATTTGTTTATTTTCATTTTATTATTATATATATATATATATAAAAGGTCCAAACCCTAATATTCCATGGTTATGATTTATTACCTTGGAATCGTAATCACGATCCAATTCATCAGACCTACAAATTCAAAAAGAAATTGGAAAATATAACTCCTGGTATAAAAAACAAAATTTTAGTGAGAGTGTATGTCTGGGAGTGGGAAACAAGTATGAGAGGGAAATGTATGAAAGCTCTAGAGAGAGGGTGTAATAGAAGGCCTAAAGGTGAAGGTGGGGATTAAAATTTAACAGTGAGAAGTTTTAAAGAGAGGAGTTAAATAACGGTTTAAATGAATGAGATACAGACAAATATGAATTATTTTCAGATGCATAAATCACTACCAATTATATATATATATATATATATATATTGAAATGTGGATTTTTTTTATTTTAAAATATATATTATACTCTATTTTCTATAATTCTACTACACATGTTTCTGATTTTGCGACCAAGAAAGACATTTGAATCACTACCATGCAAAATATGCATTTTTATAATATGTGGAAATATGTACTCTTCGCTTGAAGAAGGTTGTGAAACCAGAAACGTGTGTAACAGAATTATGGAAAATAGAGTATAATACATATTTTAAAATAAAATGTTTGTGGTTTATCTTCTTTTTAAAATTATAGTGGACTCTTCCTATTGTGAACAATAAATGAGGGTCAGCATTAGATGGTGGCTTTTGTTTTACACTTATGTGTGCTATTGTGGAGAAAATTAGTCAAGGGAAAGACATATTTCATTTTTGCTTTGTTGACTGCAATATTAGCCCAGCCTTGCTGCGGGTGACAAAGCCACATTGACAGATGAAATTTGTTAAAGCAGGATTTTGATGGCGTCTCTACTTCAGAGCTTGACAAAGCTGATCACAGTGCTTCAGTCTACTGTCTTCAAAAGCCTTTAACTTAATGAAACGTCTTATGCCACTTGTTTTGGTTTGATGCTTAGGTTTTCAGATCAAAGTTGTGACGCTTCAAATTGTCTTTCAGTGTGTGTGTGTGTGTGTGTGTGTGTGTGTGTGTGTGTGTGTGTGTGTGTGTGTATGTATATATATATATATATATATATATACACACACACTTTTTTTTTTTTTTTTTTTTTTTTTTTTTTTTTTTTGGGGGGGTTACATCATTTCATCCCAAGCAAGGCAATAATATCACTAAGTTGCAAAGGGTTAATGGGGGTGGAAGAGAAAGAGAAAACTTCTTTAGTGAGAAGAAAGGACAATGAAAGAACAGAGTTCAAGAAGACAGGAGATGGCAATTGATATTACATGTAAATTTTTGAAGCTCGTAGTTGAGAGATGTTTCAAGACAGTTATGTGGCATGCGTGATATATGCTTAGGTGATCATGTACCTTTCAATACATGACTGACGAGGCAGATTTTTTTCCCCCTGCAGTAGGTTGCCATTTCTTTCTGCAGTAGACCAGTTGCCATCCGAGGCTATAGAACCCAATCTGTTCTGCTATTTATCCATAGCTGGAGGGAAGAAGAAGAGGATTCATACTTTTTCCCAAGGGTATTAGCACATAAGTGAATGCAATGGATCTGACTGGAATTCAAACTTGGCTCTCCAATTCCTCAATCCGAGCCACTATCCATTACTCCATTAATCCCATTCTGGCTGAAAAAGTACTTTACACTGATATCTCTACTTGAAAATACATTAATCTTACTTTATCAGACATCAACATAACTTTTGATTTCTTTCTTCCAATTTTTGGTCCAGGGTTCATGCCCTCTTGAAGCCAGAGTTGAATTTGCCAAAACGTGTTTTAATTTTCTGTTTATTTAAATTTCAACCCTCAAATGCCATTTTATACTTATAAACCCTGTTGCATACTGAAATTCACTGTAATAAACAAAAAGAATGACTTTTTTTTTTTTTTTTTTTTTTTTTATATTTCAAACTTCATCCAATACAAGGCTTGAAAGCCCCTTAAGATAGAGGGTTACTGTTAAAATGGTAATGATGAATGTGTTGTGTGATATGAATGAAAGATTTGGGAGGAGGTGTTTATGAGAATAAGCAGGATAGCTAAGGATTGATCATTGGTTTGAAGAAGTTAAGATTGTAGTGTTCTGGAAAGCACCAACATGGGAGTTTGTTCCATAAAGTAGCAATTCTTATGTTAGTGGAAATTGCTGCTTACATTTGGAATACAGAAGTAATAAGAGGGATTTAACTTTGTGGAAGTGACATGGCATGCCTCGGTTAAAGAATGGAGAATGTCTGAATATTTGTCATGGAATTAGTAAAAGAGCGGCAATGCTGTATCTCTGAAAGTAGAAAGAGGCTGCAGAGTGGAAGATAAATAAGCCCCCCCCAAATGATTCAAATGTTTAATAGAACAAATGTCACCTTGATGGAGTGGATAGATTCAGCTCAGTACTAGATTGGCAATAAGGTCTCATTAATTCATAGTTGAATTGATTAGATCTAACAATAAGTTCTATGTTAACAGTCTCTTCTTGCTTGTGGAACTCTCATCTGGCTCCGTGTTTTCCAGTCAACTTTGATCTTCAAAAATTTAAATGCAATGTCAATCGTTATCTACTGTCGTCTTGATTACTCTTCTATTGACCTTGCTCTTTAATGGTTCACTTTTTTTCTCTTTTTCTTTTAACACTCGGTAAGATTTTGTATCTTAGTGCCTTTACCACCTTTCATGGGGTGAAATGATTACAAATATATCTTACTTATTATAAAACGCAGATTGTGTGTGTGTCCGTACGTTTATATATTGGATCGGATTTCCTACATTTTTCAACCGATTTCAACAAAACTTCACAGGACTACGTAAAATTACCTTGCAGTGGTTCTGACAGTGCCAAAAATTGGAAAAACAATTGTTCTTGCACGAAATCAATTTGAAAACACGATTAAGAGGCATCGCGAGAATGAAAGGGGGACAACTCATATCGAGTTATACTTATTATAAAACCCAGGTTGTTTGTGTGCGTGTGTGTTCATTTATATATGGGATCGGATTTCCTACATTTTTCAACCAATTTCAACAAAACTTCACTTTTTTTTGTCAGGTAGTGTTTCTTATTGTCTTGCACACTTTTTTCCTTATTTTACATTCAGAATGCTTTAAAAATTCCATTTACAAGACAATTGTTTACAATAAAATTCTATTCAATCGGTAGACTCATAACAATTGAAAACAATGTTTTTGTTTGGGTTTGTCCAATTTGTAAAAAAAAAAAAAAACAAAACAAAAAAATAAAACTATTTAGACATGCGTGTCCGTCAACCTTAAACAATAATCTTTGTCAATTTTATTTTTCAGTATTTATGATGGTCGATACTTGATCTATCTCTTACTGTTACATCCCCGGGCAACGCCGGGCTCTATTGCTAGTTTATATATAAAACAAAGAGATACGTGTGGATAGGAAACCTGGCAGATTTATGTAGTTCAATCATATGTCTTCAAATTGTCTGACAGAATGGGATTAGTGGAGTAATGGATAGCAGCTTGGATTGAGGAATTGTCTGTCTTGAATTTTTTTTTTTTTTTTAAATTTAAGTGTTGGCTGACTTTTTTTTGTATTTGGTATAACTTGTTATTTCTTCTTCATAATTTCAGCTGTCAGCTGCACTGCTGCGTGGGTGTACTCAACACATGACCCACCTTAATCTGTCCAGGAATCCTTTCACACTGAAGAAACTTAAGGACGTGACCATTCCACAATCCTGGAAGCAGTTATTCTCCAGCTTCTACCAGTTGTCTCACTTGGATATTTCACACTGCAAATTGCCCATGGAGAGTGTCAAGTACGTATGATTTGAGAAAGGATTTTAGTCTGGTGTTTGACTAGCAATTGAATTGCAGATACAGTACTACCATATCTGATGGCATATAAGAGCCCCTCCATCCCCATTTCTGCAGTAAATAAGTAGAAATAGAAATTTTTCAATGGTATACCAAATGTCACTGGAATTTCATTCATGTTTTCTTTGTTACACTATTTACATTCTTCAGATTATTGTCCTCATCTTTGTTGCCATATTTATTACAACATTTCGACCATTGTACACACCGGCCTTCTTCAGGTTGTTGGAATGTTGAACTGAACCCTTTATTTCGCTCACTGGAGTAGACTGTTCTAGTTCCACGTGCCATGTCTAATTGATATCAGTTATCTCCTGTTAATTCCCCACTCCAACTTCTCCACCTTAAGCAGGTATTCTACTCACACTATTTGGGTCCTGTCACGGGATCTAACACCTTTATCCACTGTGGATAAAGGCGTTCTAGTGAAACTAGAACAGTCTACTCCAATATGGTGACAAAGATGAGGACAATAGTCCGAATAATGTAAATAGGAGGTAGGGAGCTTTACTATAATGACAGTGAAATAATTCTTTAGAATTCATAAAAATCTAGATTATTTTGAATCTAGTGTGTGTGTATAAGAGACAGACTTGGTGTTTCATGAAGGATCCCTTTCATGAAACTATAGTGAAGAAAATGGCAAATTACCGTGTCAAAACAAGTGACAGCATGCCACGTTTATCCTATGACAGAAAATGTGGGGGGGGGGAGTTACTTGCCAAAAAAAAGTGCACACATTCTGCATGATATGCTAAAGACAAATTAGAGACAAGTCAGTTGCAGCAGTCGCCATAAAAGTATTTTCATATGCTAATGTTGTGCACCCTCTCTCAGTTGAAATAGAAAAAATGTTTGGCCGATAAAAGCAGTTGGTGTTTTTAGATCGGGGAGAAAAAAGCCAAACTTTGCGTATTTAGTGACCGTGGCGGTTGAGTTACTTTTCTGACTGGTTACGTGCATTGTGATTTGTGACATAAGACCCGCAAATCTAGATTTCAATATTTCTTTGTGCCCCTGATCTTCAAGCTTGAACTTACAGTGATTTGTTCTCTTCATTGTGGAAGTAATCTGTGACAAATATATTTTCCTTTGCAATCCAAGAACTCTTACAGAAACACCATTGGAAAGTACCTTAAAATAAAAAAAAAAAAACAAAGTAAAAAAAGATGTGCCAGGAGTTGACCCAAGCTTTGCATGTGAAATTAGTTTGACAAAACTGTCTGGGAGCTGTCAATGGTTGTGCTAACACAAAGTCAGTCATCACAACTCGAGAGTTTGAGTGTCCTGTCCTTATTCAACTATTGATCATGCATTCTTTCGCCCAGAAGCAAGGCCTTCTTCAGTAAACAAAGAAATTTCTAAAGAATTAATGGATTTATTTTGAATCTGATATTTTTATTACTTCAAACATTATAGTGAATACTTTGTATTTGAAATAGATGTTCCATTTTTATTTTAAACATTGTGTATAACAGACACGCTGCACAAATGATTTCATGAATGTGAAGGCCATGATTTCTTGAATGTGCAGACAGATCGACTAGACATAAGACATAGTGTTTCAAATAAAAATGGGGTATCTATTTGAAATTTCAAATAAAAATGGGGCATCTATTTGAAATTTCAAATAAAAATGTGGCATCTATTTCAAACTAGCAGCATGGCCCGGCTTTGCCTGTGCTTGATTCAAAAATCGTACAACTCATACAGCAATCGCTATCACTTAAAATATTTTTACCCTTCCTTGCCTTTAAAGCAGTGCCCTTTGCCGTGCTGATGTTGCTACATGCCTTACTTCTTGCCTATCTCACACTGCAATTTTTTTCTAAGCTCTATACTAAACATTAAGTCTGTTACGAAAAAAGAACTAAACAAAATGAACAATCAGCTTTAAAAAAGGACTCATAACTGAAAAAACCGAATGAAAAAAAGAATGTTAACAACAAATACTTTTTCACACCCAACCCAGTTCTGCAGAATTGGAATCAACGTTGAGTTTAAGCAAACGAATGAGCCAATTGGAGTAAAGTGCCATGCAGATTTAAATTTTTCCCACTTGTGACAGATGGAGCTATTGATTTTTTTTGTATGCTAGTTAACATTCATGTCAGTTTAGCTGTTGGCTCTCACGCTGGCCAATAGAATCTTCCTGCCTATTCGTGGCAGCCAGCTATAGGCTCTCACTCTGGCCAGTAGAAAATGGCCGCAAACTACATGAAAACTGCCATAGAAGCATGAAAAAATCAATTATTTCTACTATTGACGGAAGTTGGGAAATGCAAAGTCGGTCTTGGCCTTCCCACTAACTTGGAGTATGTGCATGTAAATTTTGGTGCAAATCCGTCAAATTGCGTCCGTGCATTCGTTATACACACACACACACACACACACACACACACACACACATCCTGCCTTTTATGGATAGACTTAAAATAAAAATGGGGCATCTATTTCAAATTTCAAATAAAAATGGAGCATCTATTTCAAATATGACTATCAACTGTAATAACATTTGAACTAATGAAAATGTCGGATTAAAAATAAGTATAATTCTTTAGAAACAACCTCTCATAAGAAAAGAGATGAAATAACTAAGGAATGTAGATTCTTTGCTGTCAATTAAAACAGTTATTACATTATTTGTGTCCATTTTAAGTAACACTTGTTATGCACAGTAACTCTGTAAAGCAATTAGTCGTGCAAAAGAAAAACAAAACACTTGTTTGATTTAGTCTGCATCGCACACCCGTTTGATCTACCTGTTTGATCTACCTGTTTGATCTACTTTGTATTTGAATTGTCTTGAAAAGGAATATGTTTGTTTTTGTTCTTTTCAGAGAACTTCTCCTTGGCATCTCAAGTAATATGAACATAAACAGTTTGCACCTTGATTTAAGTAGCAATGAACTTTACAGCAGTTCTTCTGATGAAATTGACACGATCATCGCTCACATGTCTAATTTAACAAGTCTTGACATCAGCAATAACCGTAAGTTTTCTTCTGATAGACTTTTTTCTATATAGGTGTTTAAAAAGTTAATGTTTTTTAAACATAATTTTATTTTTTATTTTATTTCCAAGTGTTAAGATTATATCTTGTCCCTTTCGCTACTTAATCCAGACATTTGTGTGATATCATATTGGCAAAATATCTTGTCAGCTGCTCTGGAACAGTCACGGCTTTTGCTAACATTTTCAAATTGTATTTAATCACTATTGCCAGAGTAAGAAAACCCAGAACAAATAAATGGAAAAAATTCTCATAGGATATCTCATCAGTCAGTCATAGGTAATCATTGCAGTCATTTTCCTCATCATTATCATAATCTATGGATTTGACTGAATTACTATTAAATTCACTGCCAAAGTAAGAAAACCCAGAACAAAAAGATTTTGAAAGATATCTGAAGTTATTCCTGGATGCAATTTATTACCCAAAAATTGTTTGAGCAAGTTTCACTACTCTATCTCTGCTTTGAATAAAGATTTTTTTTTATCATTTCAATCCTAGCAAGGCAATAAAGCCACTAAGATGTAAGGTGTTACTGAGTGTGAAAAACATTAAGGAGACAGATGTAGTGAAAGAGATAATCAGTTACCCTGAAAAAAAGTTTTTGTGTGTGATCTGCCAAAGAAAAATTACCAAAAAGTAGTCAGCAAAAATCTACATCAATGACTAGAAGCTATGCTAATGTTCTTCCCTCCCCTGAATGGCATGACCAATCAGAAAATTCTCTTGGTGAACAGAAGTCGTTTTTTGCTTATAAAAGGAGAAGATTTTTTTGAGCTTGGTGGAACAAACACGCGTTTTTGCTGGTGAGAAGTGAAGGTTGGACATGTGACCCCTATTTTGTCGTTTCTATGTTTGTTGGACTGTTACGTCGGACTGTCGTTTGAACTGCGATTTGGCTACAAGTGTTGCGGTCGAGAAACAGAAGAAATCTCTTGCAGTTGCTACTATCAGTTGACAGTCTTTTCTTTACTACAACAACAGAACAATAAAAGAATAGGAATTATGAAGACAAAAGATAACAATTGACATTACATTAAATTCTTGAAGATCAAAGTTGACTGGGAAGCAAGAAGCCAGAAAAGAATTCCACAACCGAGAAGTGCAAGAGAAGAATCTGTTAACATGGAATTTATGGTTATGTCTAGCAATTTCAACTGTAAAATGATGAGACCTAACTGCCAACCTAGTACATTGCTTAAATTCATAAAGTTGAGGTACCAAAGAGGAAAGCTCATCACAACAATACTCTTTGGTACCTTGACACTGTGGTTTCCATATAAAGTAGGTGTTACTGACAGGACAAAACTATATATTAGCAGTTGTCAATGCTGTTAATATTTTGTTTATTAAAATTAAGATTTATTTTTTTCTAAAGTTTAATTTAAAAAAAAAAAAAAATTTTTTTTTTTTTTTTTTTTTTAAAGTTGAATGTCCATCATTGAGTAATTGTCTTAATTGCGAGTGTGGCTAATTTAAATATTTTAGTGTTTATTTCTTATCCACAGATATCAAAGTTCCCAGATGCTCAAGTTTAACTATGATTACTGACAAATATGTTTGTTTAACTTTCTGCACACTCTTTGGGCAGCTCAAAATATATATATATATATATATATATATATATTGTGTGTATTCACATGTGTCTTTGAACATAGAAATATAGGTCCTTGCTGGATTAGACAATCATTATATTTATCTTCATATATTTATATTTGATTTGTAACCTGTAGTCGATATTAATTTTGTCAAATTTTCTCAATTACAAAGCAGACATTTAAGTAAACGCAATTTTACTTTCCTTCGTTCCATCTCTCTCCCCCACCTCCTCTTTCCTCTCCCCCTCCCTCTTATTCTAGCTTCAAATTGTCTATGGTGTATATATGTCACCAATTAAATGTATCTTTATGCATTAGACATCCGTCGACATTCATTTCTTCTCTTAATTAAACCCTTTCCCCCACATCTCCTAAAATTCTCTCTGTTAAGGTTCAATCTCCCTCCTCCTCATATTTACACTTTCTCTAAATTCTGTTTTTTCCACTTCCGAGTGGGTTTTTTCTGTTTTCATTTTGAATTTGTAGGTCTGATGAATTGGATCGTATTATGATTCCAATGGAATAAATTATGACCATGGAATATTAGTGTTTAAGCCTTTTTATATATATTATATATATATATATATATATATATATATATATATATATATATATATATATATATAAGGTGGTTTATAAATGAGGGTTTATTTTATAACTTCGTCAGAATACAAAATTGATCCCTCACTATACCTATACTTTGCCACTTCAATTTTGATTACCTACTAGCATGTTGTCCTGTTGTGTTCAAGAATATGTCAACCACCATCGCCCATATGAGTAAAAGGTCCACTTGTTTGCTGTAACTGTGTCTACATTATGGACTCTCGTGCAAACCAAACCTGTGTCTGCCTTTCAAATGAGAGAATTTGGCATTAAATCACCTGGAAAAGGTTGATATGCTATAAACCAAACTTACTTGCATTTCGGATAAATGGGGGACCATTTTATAACTTTGTTAAAATACAAAACTGATTCCCCCACCATGTCTTTACTTTGTCATTTTAACTTTGATTCCATACTAACATGTTTTTATATTGCTTTTTCTTTTTTTTAATTACCTGTGTGTTCTGAGGACTATATTTTAATAGTTTTGGATATGTTAATGACTCTTCTGTTTATATATGCAAAAAGAATTCCTTAAATTTTTCTTTAAAATGCTGGAAGTTATTTTACACTTTTAAGCAACAGTTTAATTGAATGCAGTGAGTTTCATTGTTTTTTCTTCAGCCTTCCAGAACAATGTTTAAGATGTTAGAAATTTTAATTATTATTATCAAATGTTGGCAAATGATAATTTTAATTATTTTGTATTATCAAATGTTGCCGGATGATAATTTTAATTATTTTGTATTATCAAATGTTGCCGGATGATAATTTTAATTATTTTGTATTATCAAATGTTGGCAAATGATAATTTTAATTATCAAATGTTGCCAAATGATAATTTTAATTATTTCAGTTTATCAAATTGTTGTAAAACTTAGTCATGGTCAACCTAGGTATAAGAATTAAATTTTTCTGTTTAGTGCTTGCATTAAAAAATGTTTTTCATTTTGTATTTTAGGGTTTGAATTAAGTCTTGAACATTTCTTGAAATCAGTCAGCCAGAACAAAACTCTGAAACACTTAGCGATTGGTCGAAATTTTTCTGGTATGAAAGTCAAGTAAGTCAAATTTGATTTTAAATTGCAACTTTAAATTCTGTTCCATAATTTTTTCCAAAATAAAAAATAAATAGATATTTCTTGCTTTAAATTCTTGGTCAATAGTAGAATAGATTGTTTTTGAAGAGTAACATTCTTCTTTCTGAAAGCTCTTACTGTAGAGCAGTAATTAGGAAGTTAATCTCACAGGCTGTTGTTAGTGAACTTGATTACTGCTTTTATGGCTCTGTGCCAGATTAAGCTAAGCTTAAGCTTTATCACCCTATATGTGACGTCATTTGTGGTACAAAAAAAAATCCTTCTTCCATTGAAGGTGATTCTGATCTCTGAACAACAGTGTGTTTAAATTTCATAGTTGTGTTGTCATATCCTGCTATGGCAGCAGAAAACAGTAAGGATACTGCAATGGAGATGCTTTGAAAGAGAATAATGCAGTAGAAAGAGAAGTAATATTAATAATGCAGAGTGCTAAAGGTTAATAGATATCTTCAATGGTTCGTAAAATGACCACACAAGCCATTTTTAACAAAGTCGATCCTTAATATTTTTGTCTGCTGATGTTTTTGTTTTTTAACCATCAAAATATCAATAAAAACTGACAGAAAATAGTCATAAATACTTGATCCTTTCTAAAAATTTACTCTTTACTAAAACTCACAGAAAAAATTCAAATTTATTGACTAAAATGGATCTGAAACCCCCCAAAAAAAAAAAACAAGAAGTGAAACTTTATCAAAACAGCAAAGATGAGGATACTAGTATAAATAATTAATGGAGTAATTAATGAGAGTGCTTAATTTTTGGTCTTCGGAAAATATGCAGGATTATTAGAGACTTTGACCATACAATAAAAAGTAGATATCTTGATTAGTTTATTTGAATAATAATAATTGTGCTTCATCTCAGAATGTCAAGAAACACAAGAAGGTTGGAGAGTGAACTGGCCAAAATTTGATTGAAACAAAAAAATGAGGATACAAGTCCATATAAGTCATAAAAATGACAATAAAAATATTAAAAAGCCATTAGATTGTTTATTTACAGGAATAATTTTATATTTACAAGATTATGACAGAACATTTAAAAGTATTTTTTTTTTTTTTTTTTCACTAAAGTTCACCTAATATAAGGCTCAAAAACCACTTTGGGTTGAGGGTTACTGTCAAGAAAATGGTAATGCTAAATGAGGTGTGTGACATGAATCGAAGGGAAGATGGAAAGAGATGAAGATTAAGAGGGAAGTTTGACCTTTGAATTTAAAGTGATCAGTGAAGCCTACAGAGTGGCAGTTCTTTGGATGGTAATCAGAGTGTAATTTACATTTGAGACAGAGAGGAAATGAGGGGTGATTTGACCATGAAAATGGCAATGCAAGTCCTAGCCGCAAAGGACTGAACTATTGGGATGTAAAAATGGAGCACATCTTGCAGGAAATTGGTTGCATTATGGAAAACATATCATCATCCAAAAGGTAGTGTAAACATTTCTGAGCTCTATGTTGGCTGGAAAGAGAGGACAAAGCAGCTTCAATGCAAATATGGCTGTAAGACTCCATTTTTGGTCTGATTCTTGTAAAGATTGGTAGAAAGTGTCAGGCACTTCCTAAAACAATAGAATGAGATTTCATTGAAATATTCATTTTTTTTTTTTTTTTTTTCTAGTGCATTTTACAGTTTTCCATTTGAGAAATAGCTTTTCATAAATCTGGTTTGTTGGTTTGTTCACTGATTTTAATAGGCTGATAGAATTTTTGGTTGAATTTTATTAGCATAATTTCTCTTTTGCTTATGGTTTTATTAGAAAAATTAAAATGATAATAAATTTTCTTCTTTATAGACATATACCTCGTGTCTTGGGTGCTGTTGTTCATCTCTTACAGGAAGAAAACAGTGTAAGTGGATTTTTTAAACTGTCAACTTTACAGAATTTTTGGCAAAGTTTAACCTTTGTGCCCCAAAAAAAAAAAAAAATGTCAAAAAGTCAGTTATTTCCTTGGCACTATTATTTCATAGTCCCTTGACTCTCTCGGCAAGGTTTGTTTTAAAAAGTGATGATCAGAATTTTGGTAAAACCCCAACAATATAAAAGCGGATGTATACATTTTCTTTGTTCTTGAGAATTGACAATAAAAATATTAAAAAAACCATTGGATTGTTTATTTACAGGAATAATTTTATATTTACAAGATTATAAAAATATGTTAACTATAATGAAATATTTATTATTTACCATTTTATAGAAGAAATAAATCTGAAAAGAAATTTTTTTATTCATAAATTCATAAAAATGTCTTTGATCATGAAAATTTACATAAACACATAATGATGAGTAAAAGTAATAATAAATTTTGAAAAATGCATTTTCTGGGCATTTCTTCTTTCAGTTCCTCTTGTCACATAAATTAAAAGAGGCTGAATTTTCAATTTGGGTCATTCATTGATGACAAAGCTTTTTATGCACAAGAAAAGATAGCAGCAAAAATTATAGGCACAGTGGAGTAATGGATAGTAACTCGGATGGAAGAAATGGAGAGTTGAGTTTGAATACAAATTGAATCCATTACATTTACTTACATGCTAATATCCTTGAGAAAAGGATGAATCCTCTTCTCCCCCCCCTAGCTATAGATAAATAGCAGGACAGACTGTATTCTATAGACTTGGGTGGCAACTGGTCTACCACAGAAATGGTAACCTACTACAGGAAAAATCTGCCTCATCAGTCATGTATTGAAAGATATATGATCGCCTAAGCATGTATCACGCATGCCACATAAGTGACTGATATATGGTATGGTAGGTAGGTAGGTATGTATGTAGAAAATCATTATTAGGTACTTCAACATGGTGTAATGGTTAGCAAGCTTATCTCGTTAGATCAATTATGACCGAGTAATGTTTAATGTTTTACTCTTAAATCTTGTCTGAAAGTGATTTTTGCAATGAGATTACTAAATATGAAAACCAAATATATTTTTGTAAGATAGATGAAAAAATTTGAAAATCTAAGAGCCCAATTAATTGTTAAGCCAGCGCTTGTTAAGTGGAAGCTATTGGTAATATATATTTTTAAACTACAATTTTCCATGATTTTCTCAAGTACATTCATATCTGTTCAATGTGTATCCAAATGTAAACAAATGACGTCACACATAATGAAATGGACAAAGTCCGACAATATATAGTTTTTTTTTATTATAAACAGAGCATTTACTTAAATATTTGTATCTATGAGAAAATCATGGAAAATACTAGTTTAAAAACAGTAAAATCGACCTTGCTAATATATATTTTATCAAGAATTCAAGCCAGTCATAAAATGGTGTTTTGTTATATGTCAATCAATCTTTTTTTTTTTTTTTTTTTTTTTTTGCAGGCAATAGAATCTTTGTCTCTGGCTGATTCCAAATTGAAAGGAGAAACAACGCTTGTAATTAACGCCTTGGGTAGCAACAAAACTCTTACAGAACTTGATATAAGGTAAAACTTTTCGAATGTTAGCTATTATGGAAAATATTTGATTCTGAATATTATTTCCAATAGAAAAGTTGAAATCAAAACAAAGCTATACAAATGACACATTTTTATCAAAAAATATCACAAGCTGTTTAGAAATATGATCTTTTTTTTTCTTTTTTTTAATTTTCATGGACTTTTCTATTGAATCATTCCATTACTTAACTGGTCTGCTGATGTCATGAAATAAGCAAGTTTAAGGATGTTAAAAAATAAAAAACAAAAAAATCCTTAAAGGATTTTTAAACAGTAATATTGACATTCCCATCATGGAAATGAATAAATGATGGGGAAAATAATTTGGATGCTTTATCTGATATAGTTTCTCAATATCTGTCTATATTTCTGAGATGAGGTATTATGTACAACATTTCGCTGTTTATTTACATTATTCGGACTATTGTCCTCATCTTTGTCGCCATATTTATTACGTTTCGGCTCTTCAGTATCTGTCTATATTTCTGTCACTGGATCTAACTAATGCCTTTATCCACTGTGCCATGTGTCCTTGAGACAGGACCCAAAGAGTGTGAGTTCAATACCCATTTATGGCAATGGAGAACTTTCAGAGGGAAATTAATAGGAGATAACTGATAACTGACATCCATTAAGCATGGCACATGGAACTAGGACAGTCTATCCCAGTGAAAGCGACAAAAATAAAGGGTTCAGTTAAGACCTAAGCTGATATTCCAACCACCTGAAGAAGGCAAGAGTAAAGAGGCGTGATTGAGGAAAATGTCTGAAACATATTGATAAATATTTGAAGACTATAACTGTTAGAGAAGCAAAAAGATGAGGACAACAGGAAGTCCACATAAGCTATCGAGTAAAATTAAATGAAACTGAGATTTCTCAAATTGGACAGCAGTTTTTTGAAAATATTGCAGCCATTTTCAGAGGTCCATAAGAGATGAGAAAGTCAGACTAGGACAAATGTTTATATTTTTTTTATTAAGACAATTTCTCCCCAATGGCGAATGTTTGATTTATAGATTTGAAGGATGGACTGGTGAGAAAATCTTTCTAGCATGACAAGAGAACCAACTTTCCATCTCAGGTAGCGGACAAGTGGTGGCAAGAGACATAAAGGAAGGGGTGATTGTAAATGAGAAAGTTTTTAAAGTTTACCAGATTTGGTCAACCGGGAATTGTAGTTTCAAAAGCATATGGAATATGCTTGAGCTATGAATGTCAAAATTTGTTAATTTTATTTAGCTTAACTGCAAAAAACAGTAGCTTAAATTTCAAGATGCTCTGGTTTTAAATCTATTAAAGAGACTAATCTAATATTTGAATTTATCAATGTTTGATCAAGGAACATCTGAGAATTTTTCCCACATTTTTCTAAGAGTGTCACTTGTGGCTATTTGATTTGAGACGGAATTGACCCTACTGTATGGTCACTTTTTATTCCTTTTTTGAGCCTTGATTGTTATATTCACTTTCAATACCACTTAAAATGTAAAGCCATCTTTTATTTTTATTGATTTTTATTAATTTCAAAATATTTACTCTTCATTTTCTCTTAATTATCGTATCTTTCTTTTTGTACAGTTGCTAAATGTTTTTTAAAGTTTTTTAAAAAAGGGAACTCTATTATGTTGCCGCTTTTCAGGATCACATACATTGCCAAAAGTAATCCATAAAAACCAGAACAAATCAATTGCTCAATCTCAAGCTGATATATTTAATCTTTTAGTGGGAATTCCATGGAGGATGTAGGAGCTCGAATGCTAGCCAAAGCCTTACAAATCAACAACAAACTCCAGACAATAATTTGGGATAAGAATGGAACCACAGCCCAAGGGTTTCAAGACATTGCAGATGCTCTTGAACAGTAAGTGCTTTTTTTTCCCTACTTCCTTATCCTGTTTTGGTCACAGACTAGAGCTGGCAGCCAGTCTCCTGCCTTGATCATCCACTATTGCTGCCACTTGGCACCACCTGTCCCCCTTCTTTGCTGTGCCTGTCACCACCTGTCACCACCTGTCCCCCTTCTTTGCTGTGCCTGTCACCACCTGTCCCTCTTCTTTGCTGTGCCTGTCACCACCTGTCCCTCTTCTTTGCTGTGCCTGTCACCACCTGTCCCTCTTCTTTGCTGTGCCTGTCACCACCTGTCCCTCTTCTTTGCTGTCCCTGTCACCACTCTGTCCCTCTTTCTTTTGTGCCTGTCACCACCTTTGTCCCTCTTCTTTGCTGTGCCCTGTCACCACCTGTCCCTCTTCTTTTCTTTCACTGTTTGTCACTCCCTGTCCCTCTTCTTTGCACTGCCTGTCACCACCTGTCCCCTCTTTCTTTGCTGTCCCTGTCACCACCTGTCCCTCTTCTTTGCTGTCCCTGTCACCACCTCTTCTTTCACTGTTTGCCACTCCCTCTCACCTCTTCTTTCACTGTTTGCCACTCCCTCTCACCTCTTCTTTCACTGTTTGCCACTCCCTCTCACCTCTTCTTTACTATTGCCCTCCCGCTGCCTTCTTTCCCTCATCTCTACTTCTTTCCCTCTTTGCGCTGCCTGTCCTCATCTTTACTGTTTGCCTCCCTGTCCCTCTTCTTTTCTCTCTTTATTCCCTCTCGCTGCCTGTCCCTCTTCTTCTCTTAGAAAACAATGATTTGATTAGTCCCCATTTTTTTTCTCTCTAACAGAAACTACACGTTGAAGAAGATGCCAACTCCAGTGTTTGATGCCACAGCTGCCATCAAATATCAACCTGAAAAAGTAGAAGCAACTCTCCAAAAGGTAAATGTTTATTTAACTAACATGTTTATCCATAATTTCTCAGGTGAGGAGTTACTGGTAATTACATTTGAACTAATATCCTGATCACATTTCAACCATCATGCCATCTGGCATTCTTCCGGACTCTGTTCTAATATTCAAGGCAGATTTCTATTTTACTGTCCATGTCTAAGGATATTTGGACATTTTTTTTTCTATTATCGTTTCTACTATCTGGCCCAGGGATTGAACTCACAGTTACAATGACAGCAAATTCATGAATCAATGCTTTAATCCACTTGGATTATTGTCCCAGGAGTTTATCCTTGACGTCAAAAACTAATGACATGTGATACCTTCAGCACTGTATTGTGAATAATTCTCTCATTTTTTGTGTATGTATATATATATATATATATATATATATATATATATATATATACACACACAGTGTAACCCGGATATAAGAGAGTTGTCGGGACCGGAGAAGAAGTCTCTTATATCCGGGTTTGATCTATTTTATGTACATTAACACAGGCTCTAATTTGGGACCAGAGAAAATCTCTCTTATATCCGGGTTACACTGTATACACACACACACACACACACACACACACACCAGGTGAATGGCAAAATTGTCCAAATCATGTAACAGCAAAATTGTCCATCCCATAAAATATTTAATATATAAAAAGCCACTAAACTAATTCAGTTTCTTTTTTCAATGTTTTCAGATAAGCCATCTTGATACCATTTGTCATAAGAATCACTGAAAAAAGTTTTGAGTTATTCAGCTAAAAAGAGAACAAGTTAAAATCATTTTGTTTCAGCCCCACCATGTCTTCCCAATTGAGCAATGGTCAGAGGAAAAAGATAATTCAGTCGTTCAGTAATGGTACCAATATTCATACTCTGGCTTCCATCTTCAAATCCATTCAAGAACCATCAAGAGAATGGTGAATAAGTTTAAAAAAGCGAAAAAGAGAGGAAAACTGGATCAGGAGGTCACAACAGGAAGAGGGATCATCATTTCAACTTGGAGCTAAAGAGATCAATTAGAAAAGATCCAACTCAATCCATAAGATGTTTGTCCTGTGAAAGGAGTTTCAGCTATGACAGTCCAAAAAAGACTTGAAAATGAAACTGTATGTGAAACATGTAAAGCAGCTTGTTACTCCAAGACAGAAAGTTAGGTTAAAGAGGGTGAAGATAATCTTGAATAATTTGGAAAGTGACTCTGGAATACATATATATTTGAACTTTATTTCAATCCTTTGTGAGCTTCTGATCCTTACCTATGATTAATTAATGATGAACATGTCTTTTTTGTTTGATTGCTTTCATCAAGATACTTCTGTTGAGCTTGGAGAGTAATTATACATTCTTATTGCTGAATGTAAAGCTCAATAGGGTTATAAAAACCTTGGAAAATTCCAGTAAGATATCTTTAATCATCTCTAAGATACAACGGTTCGGGGGAAAATTTTGCTGTTACACTTGATATATATAAAATGTTTTTTTATTTATTTTTTTTTTTTTTTTTTTTTTTTTTTTTTACATTTTGAACTTCTTGTAAAACTTTGCCTGTCTAAATCTCTGCTGTTATGTTTTCAGATTGAATGTTTACTGCAACGAAATCATAGTCCTCGTAAGTTTTCCTCTGACCAAGGATATCGTTTACAGCAAGGGTTTTTGATTAGTTCTACTCAGCAAGTAAGTAAATCTGGAAATCATGCTTGTATTCCAACAGTATTCATAAGGTTATAATCATTTGCTTTTTCTTTATTTCTTTTTTTTTTTTTTGTTTTATCAATATAAAGAATTAGGGAAGGTAATATTTGATTAAAGACAATACTTCTGATGTTTTAATTTAAATGTTTTTTTTAACTTAGTAGATAGTATTATATTTATGTTTAGATTACTACCTGTTACTGTGCTCAGTAATACTTTCTATATAAATAGATACACTACAGTTCAAAAGTTTGAGGATATATCTGGTAATTTTTTAAATTGGCCCCCCCCAAAGTAGTTGGTTTTTTTTTTACTTTAAATAAGAGAAAATTATTATTCATCATGGTTAAAAAAAAAATGACATGATTTTTTTTTTTATTGGAAATTTTCTTATGGCAAAAAGAAAAAAAAAGCATTTTATGATTAAATGTATGTATCTCTTTGTCTCTGTATGTATCTGTCTGTCTGTATGTATGTATGTGTGTATCTGTGTGTGTATGTGTGTATCTGTGTGTGTATGTATGTGTATATCTGTGTGTGTGTATGCATGTGTGTATCTGTGTGTGTATGCATGTGTGTATGTGTGTGTGTATCTATGTGTGTATGTATCTGTGTGTATGTGTGTGTATGTATATGTGTATGTATGTGTGTGCCTGCCTGTGTGTGTGTGTGTGTCTGTATGTGTGTCTGTGTGTGTGTGTCTGTGTGTGTGTGTGTCTGTCTGTGTATGTGTGTGTGTGTGTATGTATGTATGTGTGTGTGTGTATGTATGTATGTGTCTGTCTGTGTATGTATGTGTGTGTCTGTCTGTGTATGTATGTGTGTGTCTGTCTATGTATGTGTGTGTCTGTATGTGTGTGTCTGTCTGTGTATGTGTGTGTCTGTCTGTATGTATGTGTGTGTCTGTATGTATGTATGTGTGTGTCTGTATGTATGTATGTATGTGTGTGTCTGTATGTATGTATGTGTGTGTCTGTATGTGTGTGTGTGTCTGTATGTATGTATGTGTGTGTATGTATGTATGTGTGTGTCTGTATGTATGTATGTGTGTGTCTGTATGTATGTATGTATGTGTGTGTCTGTCTGTCTGTCTATGTATGTATGTGTGTGTCTGTCTGTCTGTCTATGTATGTAGGTATGTATGTATGTGTTTGTCTATCTATGTATCTGTCTGTCTGTCTGTGTATCTGTTTGTCTGTCTAAATGTTTTTCATTGTTGATATCCTTATCCCTGCTCACTATTTCATATCCTTTGTCTGAAGCAGTGATGGAAATGCCCTTATTTTGGCCTACATTTTCTTGTGCTTTGTGATAAAGTTCCATTGTCTGTTCCTAAAGACAAAATGATTATTTCTTGTGTGGAACCATTAAGGAGACCAACAATGAAAATAATTCAATTCTTCACTCCAGGATACAAACATTCATGAAAAAAAAAAATCTATGAAAAATTAGAAACTCATCTCTTGCTTTTGGAAATCCTTTCATTTCTATTTGTGTTCATTTCAGATGGTTGATCGACTTGTTGTGCAAATGCAAGACACCATGAATGCCTTGACAATTGATTCCAGTTCCAGTAGTTCCAGCGCCAACATTGAACACGCCTCAAGATATATTGATGATGCCAATAATTGCCAACAGGTAAATTGTTGTTTACATCAGTCATGGGGGAAAAGAAAAGTCACTGTGGCTGCACTCATTAGCAGTCAGATTAGTTTTCACTTGGGATTGTCACATGGAACAGTAGCCTAGTGGATTAAAGTGTTGGTTTGTGGATTTGGTGACATGAATTTTGTGTGTTCGATTCCTGGGTTAAGCAGTATCTACTTGGGACTCCTTGGAAACTGGGCAAGCAGTAACTGAGCTGTATTAAAATAAGAACTGGACAAGATATCCCAATATATCTACTAAAATATAGATGTTGGATTGGGAACAGTCTATACTGGTAGATAAAAATGAAAGGTTCAGTTTAAAATTCCTTGAAGGTTACTCAGATTGACCTGAACCTGAGGAAGGCCAGAGATCATAATGGTGGAAACATTGTGATCATTACGAAGACGAGGACAATAATTAGCAAATAACAAGTCTTCAAATTCAATCAATAAATTGGGTAAATTTTATTCTTTGTGGAAATAAGAGCAGAATTAATTTTGACCTGAAATTTTCACAATATAATATCCAATTCTGAATACATTAAACAGAATGGAGATAATGTTAAAAATACTTATGTAGAATGGGTACTTGTGTTTTTAATTTTTTTTTTTTTTTATCATTAGACTAAACTTATTAATGTACCTATATATTTAAGATTTTAAGATAAAAGGAAAATTTTTTTGTCCTCTGAGGGACTTTATCAAGGTAAATGTGGGGGATTTTATTTTGTAACTTGTTTTTTATACATGGATGTAAATTTTCAAATTATACATTTAAGAACAATCTAAAATATTAAAACTGTAAAGAAAGGTAAACTATGGAAAATGCTAAGTGATGTCATTTGTGAATTTATTTACATATTGCTAACACTGTCTGATGTCTTTTTCTTTGTAATGAGATATTCCGTTGTTCTAACATATGTGGTAACATAAGGCATTATTCAGTGTCAATAAGTGGACATGCCATGTATTACCATAATAACAGAATACCTCATTAGCAAATAAAGCAGAATTCTTATTCTCTTATGACATCAAATTGTATAAATAAGCCTAGACCATTGGTTCTCAATCTTTTTTGCCCAATGTCGCCTTTGTCATCATAAGTCCAAATGTCAATGTTCCCGCCACTTTCCAAGATTATCGGACACAAAAGATGCATTCTAAATAATACACATAGTTCCCAAGTAGACATCTATGCAAAGGACACTACTATTTACTACTGCCTCAATAGCAGTTCTGGTATTGCTGACAAAATTAATCTGACCGTTGGTCTTAAAAAGGACCTCCAATTGGTTGTTGACTGGGGCAGGAAATGGCTGGTTAACTTTAATGCCTCATAAACAAAACTGCTCTCTATTACCCACCACAATGAACCCTCCATGCCTCTCATTAGAATGTCTAATGCTCAACACCATGAGAGCACTTCTTTGCGACTGCTTGGTCTCACACTATTCGCTGACCTGAGATGGAACAAATACATTGAATCAATAGCTTCATCTACTGCAAGGAAAGTTGGTTCTCTGTGTTGTACCAGAAAGTTATTCTCGCCCTAGTCCATCCTTCAAATCTATAAATCAAAAATTCGCCCTTTCATGGAATACTGCTGTCATGTATGATCTAGAGCCCTGCTGTTTGTGTTAAGGTCCTCGATAAAATCCAGAGACACATATGTAATGTAGTTGGCCCTAACCTGGCAACTCATTTACAGTCAGTCTCTCGTAGACATGTTGTCGCTTTCCTCTGACTTTTCCACAAATACTTTAACTACTCTGACAAGCTTCTTTCGCTAGTTTCCAAACTGCATGAATTTAAACGTGCTACTAGGTTGACATCTCAGTTCCACTGTTTCATTGTCAGTTAAATGTAGCCATCTCTTCTACTTCAATAGCTTCATATCTCACATTTCTAGTCTGTAGAACTCCCTTCCTCTTACTTGCTTCCCTGATAGCTATAATCTCCAAATATTCAAATGCAATGTCAATCGACATCTCCAGATGCCTTGATCTATTCCCTGTCCTTCTCTTCATTCTTTCCTCTATTACGCCTCTTTACTCTTTGTTGTAGTAAAGAAAAGACTGTCAACTGATAGTAGCAACTGCAATAGATTTCTTGTTTCTCGGCTGCAACACTTGTAGCCAAATCGCAGTTCACACAATAGTCCGATGTAACAGTCCAACACACACCGTAGAAACGACAAAATGGGGTCACAAATCCAACCTTCACTTCTTGCCGACAACAACGCGTGTTCTTTTTACAGCTCAAAAAAATCATCTCCTTTTATAAGCTTAAAAACGACTTCTGTTCACTGAGAGAATTTTCTGATTGGTCACTCCATTCAAGGGAAGGAAGAACATTAGCATAGCTTCTAGTCATGATGTAGATTTTTGCTGACTACTTTTTTGGTAATTTTTCTTCGGCAGATCGCACACAAAACACAAACTTTTTTTTCGGGGTAACTGATTATCTCTTTCACTACACTCTTGCTCCCACTTTCCATAAACCCTTGCATGCTAGTGGCATTCCTGCCTTGCTTGGGGTGAAAAGCTTAAAAAAAAAATAAATAAATAAAAAATTATTGTAAATTTCCATTCTTTGTCATATTAGTACATAGACATTTACATGGGTTATTTTTCTCAAGAGTTTTACAAATTTAATAGCAATAGAAAATGTTGATGGATTTTTAAACTTGGATACAGAAATTTGTTTTGATTCAAAACTAAAAACTAGATTGTCAGCTAGGTCTCATCATTTTACAGTTGAAATGGATAGATGCAAAAATAAATTCTATGCTAACAGATTCTGCAATCACACTTTTCACTTGTGGAACTCTTTTCTGGCTTCTTGCTTCCCAGTCAACTTTGATCTTCATAAATTTAAATGCAATGTCAATCGTTATCTTCTATCTTGTTAATTCTTTTATTGTTCTCTCTCCATAATAGTAGTTTTTCTTGTATTTACTAACACTCTGTAGCCCCTTGCATCCTAGTAGCTTTATTTCCTTGCTTGGAGTGAAATGATAAAAAAAAGAGTTATTAAATAAACTGAAGCATACAAAAACAAAAAAAAGGTTCAATAGAATGCCAGGTTATTGTAATTTAGTAAACAAAATTCTATAAATAATAAGAAAATTTGAATGAAATTGCACTAATTAACATTAATCAATGTTGTTGAACATTTACAGAGATCACATAATGGATGTGAACACAGTTAGGCATTGATACATTCTGTTCAGCAGTGGCAATAACTCTATGTAGGTTTTTGTTCATTGCAGGTGAAAATCCATGGACAATGGTTGTGACTGTGTGCAAATAGTCTAACTTTTTTTTTATTGTACTTGAAAACCTGCTCAATATGACAGTGCTTGGTACTTTCTCTATTTTTTGTAGTTTTCATAGAAATAAATTGGTGGTGTGATTTTTTTTTTTTTTTTTTTTTTTTTTTTAAATACTTGAGCTGTTTTTTTTTTTTTTTCCTCCTTCAGCTGTTGCCTCAGTTACAAAAGATTGCAATCAAATCTCAAGAGGTTGGCAACCCTGTGGAACAAAAACTGAACTCAATGGTTGAGGAATTGCATGAGGTCTTGAATTCTCATGTTGAAGTGAGTATCCATTTATAGAATTACTTTTTTCTTTTTCAATCCTACTCCATCAATCCTTGTGTGAACACCTCATCTGACATACACTTGTACACACTCTGACACAACTTCATGCACACGTTCTGATATGTGCACATGCAGACTTTTTGAGACAATCACAGAGAGACACACACAAGCTTTGCAATCCAAGGCATGTATGCACATATATATTTAATGCTTAAACGTAATTTTTAGTAAATATTCATATTTGAGTAGATGTTCCATTTATTTAACAGTATTTATTTTCATCTGCTGGCTTGAATATTTGAGAAATCCTACTAGAAAAATATGTACATTGCTGTTTAATAAATAAACAGAACATCTACTTAAATATGAGTATCCACTAAAAATAACAAAAATATGTCTGGTTAATAAATACATAAAAAAAAAAAAATCACTTGTGCACACTTTGCCACCTTAGGCATGTATGTGCACACACACACACACACACATATATATATATATATATATATGTATATATATATATATATGTATATATATATGTGTGTTAAATGTTGTTTTGAGGTAATGAAAATCTTATAATCCATATGGGTAATCCCAAGGAGGATGAAATCTTTTTAGATTTTATTTCAATGTTAAAAGAGAGCAAATAATTCAAAAAGGGAAAACCAGACGACTTTAAGGTTCCATAAGGTTATAAAATTTCTTTCTTTAGAAATTGAATTGAATGTTTTTTGTCATACTATGGAATATAGAGGTCTGATGATCCAAATAGAGAACAAGATCCCTAAAGATAAAAATAAATTATAACCCAATATGGAATCTTAGTTGTTTTTTTTTTTTTTAAATTAAATGAATATATATATATATATATATATATATATATATATATATATATATATATATATATATAAACTTAAATGTTATTTTTAGTGGAGGGGGCATTTAGTTTAATCTGTATAAACTGAAACCAAAATAGTGGTGTCCATGGGAACTGTCAACATCTTTTTAGTCATTTATTTCCAGTAAATGACAATTTCCTATTTTTTTCCAAAACAGGGCTGTACAGCCAGAAAAATACAAGTTTAAGTAATAAAAATCTGTCAGATTAATTAAAAAAAAAATAAATGAATTTATTTAGAAATGATAAATTATATATAATGTCAGGTCTGCTGCCAAGACTATAGAAAATATAGTTATCTCCCCTTAGATTGATGCCAAATAGGGCTTATTTGGAAGAGTCCACTAAAGATAAACAATAATGAGTACAACCCAATCTTAGGCATGCTTCTTTTTTTTCTTTTTTTTTTTTTTTTTTTACAAATATTTTATTTCATGAGTGACTTTTTTTTTTTTTTTTATAAAAATTGAGAAATGAAAAAATTGAACAAGGAGACACTAAAAAGCTAAAAAATTGAATAGAGATGTTGTCTTCAGTCACATTCCTATCAGACATTTTCAAATGACTTTTATGAAGCAGACAGACTATAGTTTCCAAACAGACAATTGTATAAAAAATATGATTTTTTACAAAGCTTAAAAAGAATTGGAAAGAACATTGTTTCCACAAGAATCGACTCATGGCAAAGGCAGACAAACCTAAGTCGACTGTAAAGACCAGACAAGAAACATGTCAAAGATAAGATTTTAAATACACTTTCTAAGTTTGTTCATTAAAACTCCCTTTTTACCGTAATCTTGTATATTAGCAGCTAAATGAATCATTATTTAACAACTGGCCTATCTCAGTTACAATATCTGTATCTATGTACATAAACTTGTGATTGCTTTATTCAAATTGTCTTGTGATATTTTTCCCTCTGTCTTTTCGAGACCAAATGGTCTTTAAAAAAAATCCTCAAGAGACTATAATTTGACTTGAGTTTAGGGACCAATGATATTTTTGGTAACAATTATTTGAGGGGGACAGATATTAAATGGGTAACTTGACAAATGAACAGATTGTAAAATAATCAAATAATTTTAACTTTTGGTTGGCACTTTGTGGTCATTGTGATGATTGTGTGTGTCTATAAAATTATGCTATTGGTAAAATTCATATAGTAGGCTTATAAAAATCAGTTCTATTTCTATTAGATGGAGATAAAAGCATTTTATTAATAAGAACATTTTTGCTATGTTATTAAAATTGTAAACTCAATATTTTGTTAAGTCCATGGTATTGTTAGGTTTTATATTGTTGTAAATACAGCTATTTAAAAGCTATTCTATCAGGCATATTTAAGTGTCGTTTATAAGAACACTCCTTCTTGAGGGCTCTTGATTGGGCCTTCACCACAACAATAGCTAGGGAGGAGTAGATATGAAAGGCAAAAATAAACTGACTTAGAAGAACTGAGAAATAAAATTGATCACTGCTATTTAGCAGTATTGTTTTAATATTTAAGAAATGCAACCTTAAAAGGGGAAAAAGTTCAACAATAATTCTGTCTACTGTAATTTTTTAAAAATTTTTCAGTAGAACAAATAATTTTTTTATTTCAAAAATGAGTGATTTTTTTGCTCACATGTATTTCACAATTAATTTTGATTATTCTCCAAATTTATAAAAATTATCACACAAAAAAAAATTGCAAGGGGAATAACTCCAGTCGAAAAAGTCACATAAAAAATTCCAAAAAAACAGTTATTATCCTATCCTGGGTATGATGATAAATTTAAGTCTAACAGCAAGGCCTCTGATCAGGAGGTTTTGTCCAAGGTTCTAAGCATGAGGAAAGTTTTATTTAAGTTTCTTTTGCTGGTAATTCCCAGGTAAAAAACCTTTTAGGGTCTCAGCTCTTGGGCAAATAGTTAACCCTGGAATTTTGAGGTATATATAAAAGCATTATAAAAGCATAAAATGGGTTTTAATACCAGAGATACATTTTTGTAAAAATTTCTTTTAAATTGTTACCAGAAATAAATTTTTGAATATTTTTAAAAAAAAAAAAAAACTATTTACCAGCAATATATTTTTATATATTAAAAAAATGTTGCTAAAAGCAATACATTTTGAAAAAAAAAATATTATTATCCTTTTCTTCCAGCTTTGAGCTGGATATTACATATTTTAAAAATAATATTACCAGCTATACATTTTTTGAGGAAAAATATTACCAGAAATAGATTTTTGAACATTTTTTGAAAAAACAAAATATTACCAGGAATAAAAAAAGTTGTTCAGCATTTTGAATTTTTTAAATAACCCAATGAGGTTGATGGTGCTAAATAGAAAAAAAAACAAAAATTAAACCAAAAACAATTAAGTAATGAAAACTTGGGAATCCAAAATTTCAGGATTATCTTGAAAAAGGTTCAGTAATCCAGCCTGGAATTTTTTTAATTTGCTCATAAGTCAGCCTGATTCCAAAATGGTGATATGTTGCAGTTACATTGTGCCTCTAATTGACGTAAAGCCAATCTTTGAAAACTCGGAAAATTTTATTTTGCAAACACTGTAATTTGAGAACAGTAATTTTTCATTTGAAGTGAGCTGTTGAAAGTTAGCAAGATATAATTTGTCCCCTTTAACTGGAAAATGGGTGACACAGTGACATTAGCATTTATTGTGTAGATTATGTAGTAATTCTTTAGGGGGATCAGTTTATTACTAAATAGTAAAAACCAATCCCAAATTTTATACATTTTTTTAGTAGAATGCTTATTAATACTAATTATCATATTTTAAAAAAAAAATGACTATAATTTGAACCCATATATGAAAAATTTTTAATATAAAGTCCTTAGGTTTTCATTAAATATCTTTAAATGTATTTTTTACAATTATTATAGTAATTATGTTGCGAACAGAATAGGTGCGAAAAAAAAAAAGAAATTAATAGTGTGGTGATCACTTACTAAAAAAAAAAAAAAAAAAACCCCACACCTCCGCATTTCTTTAATGTCATTGGTTCTTGGAAAAATATGATACTTACTATTTGACAATTTTGCCATCGCACATTATTTGAACTGTTCTCAAAAAACGGATTGGTCCATTTATATTCTGGTCAATCGCGTATTTTAGTAAAAAAAAAAATATTTTTTTTTGGCATGAATGGAATTAAAAGCTCACTTGAGCCTATGCAAACCTATATAAACTCTCTCGCTGTTAGCCAACATTGGTAGCAGTTCAATTCTCTGAATATAGGTTTTGGCAAAAATTTTTAACATTGGAAATTAAAAACAATCAGGGCAAATAGGAACTATTTATAACATTTTAATTTTAGTTCTTCTATTAATATCACTTGTGCTAATTACATCTTTTCATATTCAGACTGTGGAATTATTCTTCATTGAGCTAAGAACATATTAATTGAACTTTATAATTAATTAACATTTAATATTGCAAACTCAACATTACTTAACTGCATTCACCCTTTTTTATTACAGACAAAATTGGGAATTACTGGTTGAAGAACATTAATTTTGCATGAATGGTATTATTGTTGATGTTTGTATATTGTTGTTATAATACAAATATTTATTTAATGTTCATGGAGCTGAAATCCTTCTCTCATATATTCTGTGCATATTTCATGTGGAGTGAAAAAAAATAAAATGAAAAAGTTATAAGAACACAGCTTTCCTTCTTGATTGCTATTACATTTCACGGTAACCCTAGAAGCCAACATATCTTACAACACCACAACAAAAAGTCAATAGCAGAATATCAATCAATTGCGTTCCGTGAAATTAATGGATATTGGCTCAGAATATTTTAAATTCAGTTGAATTCGTTCAGATTTGACTTATGCATAGTGAAAAAATGGAAAATTTTGAGAATATATGAATTGATCCCTTCTCCTTCCAGCTATGAGTTAAATAGCAGAACAGATTGGGTTTTATAGCCTTGGTTGGTAGAAAGAAAATGGCAACTAACCTTTCTTCAGAAAAAAATAATGAACTAAAAAAAATCTTCTGCCTAGTCAGTCATGGATTGAAAGAGACCAAGCATGTATCATGTATGGCATTTTTAACTGATTGACTTTATGTCCAGTAGAATTTCACATTAATACTAATTTATCCTGCTATCCAAAAATGACAGCATATTTTTGTTAAGCCATAGATTTTCACATGTGAGCTTTTTTTTTTTTTCTTTTGCGGTGGTTGTAATCTGGTCTTTTATAAAGTTGGTCTTTTTATCTCCCCAATGATTTGACTTTTGATATGGGTTATCTCTTATGAGGCTTTATCATCGTGAAAAAAAAAAAAAAAACAACTGCAAAGGTTATGACAATTGTGCAAGGGGAATAACTCCAGTCGAACAAATGTTACATATTAATGATAAAAATATCCAAATGTACTTAATATTAAGATTTTATTATCCTATGCTTTTGTAATATAATTAACGTTATTAAATTTATTTTTTTTGTTTTTCTTTTGAAGAACACTGTCTCTGACATGCTCGAGTGTGCCAAAGTCCAATGCTCTGCTGTTCTAAGCAATGAGGTAAGTTTTATTTGAAGTGTTTCTTTGTCATGAAATTTAATAAAATCTTTGAACATTTTTTTAAAAATTTCTTTTAAACTTTGTTATTACAACTTTCTCTCTTTGGCTGGAATATATATCTCTATCTGGAATATTTTTAATATTTTTAGGGTTACGCTTAGCAAATTAAAATATATATATGGAAATTTTATGATATATATATTTATATATATATATATAAATTTTTTATATATTATAATATTTTAATATTTTTAAAAAGCTTTCTTTGAAATTTTTTTAAAAATTTCATTTTTTAAACAGGAGATTTATTTAATAGGCCCAGAGTTTTGTTATTACATTTCGCTGGTCTTTCTCTCTTTGGCTGGAATATATATCTCTATCTGGAATATTTGGCCATATTATGTTCAGCTGGGATTTTTATTTTTTTTAAGCATAAAACAATTGCTTCACCTTTTCTGACATTTTCTATGGTGTCTAAATAAGAAAAATTGCTTGCTCAGCAAAATTAAAACCATATTAGAAAAAATAAGTTTAACGAGTAAAATCATTGTGACTTAAATTTTCTCCTTTTTTTTTTTTTTTTTAAAAAAATACCATTTTTTCAGCAGAAAAAAAGATTTATCTCGGGAGAAAAAATGTTGTCATTTGGTAACTGAGTTTAGTCATGTTTTTTAAAGAATCGGGACCTGATTTTTAATTAATTTTAAAAGTCACCAAAACCAACTTTATAACCATACAAGAAGTTATGGAAGGGGAATCCCAAATTCAAATGTTTGTAGAACCTCCAAAATGGATGAACCAAGAAGATTGAAACATTGTGACCCATTGAACGTGAATCCAAAACGAAAAAAATTAAAATTAGGCAAATGATTCTAAGCCAATCTTTGGCATAAAATGCTTTGGGATTATCCAACATGTATTCTACACATTTGGCAATTCTTTTCAATGGCTGATTAAGAATAAGTAAATAAATAAATGTACAAGCTCAATTTTACTTTCTCAAAACTGTTGAATCTATTAGGTAACATTCTGAGAAACTGTATTATTATTATTCCATGCTTATTCAAGCTTCAATGGTAACCCACAAATGTATAAACAGTATTTACATTCCAAATGTTGTGAAATGTTACATGAACACCAATTATGACTTGCCTTTCATTCAATAAGCTAAAATGATGAAATCGGTCACCTCAGATCACAATCCTCCACTTTATGCCCAGTAGAATAATAATACTAATTTCCACATATGTTGTGAGATGTCTACAAATTTAATACAATTAATGTATGAAGAATTGGAAATGGGGGGAAAAAGACCGCAGCACAAACCAAAAGTTTGTTACAAAGGTTGCCTTAAAGAGTCACTATACAAGTGCAATATTGGTCTGGATAAGTGGGAGACTCTAGCTGAAGACTGGGTTTCTTGGAGAGCTGGTATTGCTGATGGTGTCAAGATCTTCCATGAGGCATCACAAAAATATGCAGAACTGAAGAGAGGAGTTTGGAAGGGATCCCTGAATTGCCATGAGGTGCCAACCCGGCCATGTGCCCAATGCAATCAAATATGTCTGTTCAGGACAGGTTTGCTCAGTCACTAGAAATCACACCAACAGTCTAATGCATATGATGATTTCATAATGGCATGCTTTCAATGCCTGACCTGCACAAGGGTGTGCAAGTCCAGGTCAGACCTGACAAAGCATATAAAAAGGCACATTGGAAGTGATGATGACCAAAGTCAACTTCCACCACCCGCAGATGATTTGACATACCATATATGTAACAAGAAATGCAGATCGATGGCTGGATTTATGAGCCACTGTCATTCACATAGCAAATGGATGCAGTGTTGGTGGCAGGGGGAGTTTAACTGATGGACTGGACATATCAGTGATGGTCATACTCGCTTTGTGAGTCGACAGCCATTACACAATACAAAGTTGGGAGGTGAAAAAACCAACTTTATAAAAGAAATTACAACCACTCACTGTAAAAAAAAAAAAAAACAAAACAAATTCACATGTGAAAATCTATGGCTTAACAAAAATATGCTGTCATTTTTGGATGGCATGATAAATTAGTATTAATATGAAATTCTACTTGACATAAAGTCAGTCAGTTAAATACCATACATGATACATGCTTGATCTCTTTCAATCTATGATAGTCTAGACAGAAGATTTTCCCCATAGTAGGTTGCCATTTCTGAACATTCCAAGTCAGTATCCATTACACAAAATGCACTTATTGGTTTTCTATTATTAATATCTAGAAATGCAACATAATTACTATAATAATTGTAAAAAATACATTTAAAGACTTTAATGTGAAAAGCTAAGGACTTAACAAAATATAGTCATTTTTGATAAGATGTGGAAATTAGTATTATTATTCTACTGAGCATAAAGTTAGGATTGGGATCTGAGGTGACTAGTCTGTTTGTTTTGTATTAGCAAACATTAAGATTTGAAAATGAAATCTGTTTCTATAAAACTTCTGCCTCATTTGATCTTAGAGGTTAAAAAAAAACAACTCATTAAGTGTGTACCATGATTTTAAGGAAAATAATTCAAAGTAACTCAATTTCTTTCCATAGTGATATATATATATATATATATATATATATATATATATATAAAACCAACTTTATAAAAGAGAAGATTACAACCACTCACTGTAAAAGAAAAAAAAAAGCTCACATGTGAAAATCTATGGCTTAACATGGTCGAATCCAGGTTGAATCCATTACATTCACTTACGTGCTAATACCCTTGGGAAAGGTGTGAATCCTCTTCTTCTCCCTCCAGCTATGGGTAAAATAGCAGGACAGACTGGGTTCTATAGGCTTGGATGGCAACTGGTCTAGGAGAAGGACAACTCTGAATTCAAAACCTGAGAGGGGTTTTTTGGGGACCTTGTGGCACATAGTGCACCAGGTCTCTGAATTTGGCCCTTCAAAAAGTGTGGATGGTCCTGCACGAAACCTTCACCACTATAATCGAATCTCATGTGCTGGTGTCAGACTGTCAGTTTCCTGGAAACTGATCTGCTTGACCCTCATACGTCGAACCTGACGGGAGAATCATTTTTATATATATATATATATATATATATATATATATATATATATAAGAAGAAGAAGAAATATAGTTTTAAGGTGTGGTATATTTATGGGATAAAGTGTTCAATATCAGAGATAGTGTGTGTGTGTGTATATATATATATATATATATATATATATATATATATATATATATTTTTTTTTTTTTTTCCTGGGTTCAATTTAAATCATTGGTTTCAATCTAAGGATCATTTTTTTTTTTTTTTTTTTTTAATCATTAATTTAAATCAATTTTTACAAAAATGTTTAAAGCAAAAGATTTGGAAATAAAACAATTTTTTTTGTTGTTTTCTTGTAATTTTCTGAAAGATGGAAAGTGCTAAACATGTTGAATCAAATAATTTATTTATCACCTGAAAAAAAAAATTTTTGTTTTTTTTTGTTTTTACTTTAAAATGAAATTTTAACCATTTAACAAATTTAAAAATTCAACATGAGCAGTGTTTGTTTTCATGGATTTAAATCAAAAAAACAGTTTTGCTTCTGTATCTGTATCAAGACAGTTTGGGATGTCCCAATCCATATGGCAAGAAATCGCATTCATCACTAGAAGATGAGGTCTGTTGGCAGGTGTTGTTTAACTGCAGCAAGTATATCACTGCTTAACACACTTTCAATGTTAAAAAGCACAGATAAGAATTGAAAAACACAAATCTAAGTTTAAAAAACAACAATGGCTAGCAGTGGTGCGAGCAAACTGCTCATAAAAAATTACTCTATTATTTGTGTACAAATCAATCATGCATACCTGATGATCACCATGTCAATCTGTTATAAAATATTGTAAGAATAAACTGGTTATATGACCTTATCTGAAAAAGCAAAAACCAAACCAACAAAAAGAAGACTGTAAGTTAAATGGAAAAGCCTTAAACATAGGTAAAAATTAAATTTAGATTTTTATCAACTAAATTGGAGAAAAGGTGGCCATATATAACCAAAATTGGTTATTGGGTAACTCTAAATTATCCTTAGGCTTATGGACACATGATACTGAAAACATTGATTTCCGTATGATCACCAAAGTTAACCAATGTTGAGCCTGGTCAGTACCTAAATGTGTGACCACTTGTGAATACCAGGCACTGTAAACTTGGATATATGGGTGTGTAATGGTAAATGGCTCAGAATTATTAATCAGAGTTAAGTTCCAGTTCCCATTGGGTTTATTATATTCACTTACACACAAATATCCTTGGAAAATATATAAATCCATGTCTTCTTACCCCCAGCTATGGGTTAATTAGTAAGATTGGTATCAGTAAATCATTATCTCCCCACCCCAAATTCTTACAATCTGAAAATATTTTTTGGCTTTAAATAGCCTGCAATGGGTTGGTAATCTGTAAAAAATGAATGAATGAATCCTACTATCTTGATCTCTCAAGTTATTTATATCTTTTTTTTTTTTTTTTTTTCCTTTATGTGCAAAAATGAAAAATTAAAACAAAAAAAATCAACAACAATGGTTATACTGGAGAGTTACATATTTTTTGTAATTTATTTTATTTAAGAACTCCTCTTTTATGATAAACTGAAAAATATGTAAAACACAAAATTGAAATTATTACTAATTATAAATAATTCTAATTATAAATTGTTGATAATATTCTTAAAGAAAGTATCTCATTCCATGTTTTGGCAATTTTATCTTTATCTTTTTGTTTTGAACAGCTGGTCAGTTTTCTAGCCTTCTTCAGTTAGAAGTAATTTTTTGCCAATCTTGTTTTCCCACATAAAAGCAGGGTGTCAAAAGGATGTTTTTTCCTTGACACCACTATTATTTTAACTACCTTCACTCCTCAGCAATATTTATTGCTTTAAAAGCAGTGACTAGAATTGTAATAAAACCTGAACATATGAAAGTGAATTTATACATTTTCTTTTTTTTTTTGAGAAAACAAAAATATTAAAACCTGTTATATTGTTTATTGGAATGGTTAGAAAAACATTGGCTAATTGCCAATTGATTCAAACTTTATAAAATAGGAAATAATAAGAATTTCATTATAGTTGTTCACATATTTTCATAATTTAGTAAATGTTTATGAATTCATGAGTAAAAATTGTTTCATTTTTCATTTTGTTGTTTTTTTCATTTTGTTGTTTTTTTCATTTTGTTGTTTTTTTCATTTTGTTGTTTTTTTCATTTTGTTGTTTTTTTCATTTTGTTGTTTTTTTCATTTTGTTGTTTTTTTCATTTTGTTGTTTTTTTCATTTTGTGTTGTTTTTTTTTCATTTTGTGTTTTTTTTTATTTTGTGTTGTTTTTTTTCATTTTGTGTTTTTTTTTTTCATTTTTTTTCCATTCTTTTTTTTTTCATTTTGTTTTTTTTTATTTTGTTTTTTCTTTTTCATTTTGTGTTTTCTTCTTTTAACAAGATCTTTTTATTTTTATTTTTTTCTTCAAAACACTCACCTTCTTTGATTTTCTTTATTTTTTTAGTCTTTCTTATCTGACTTGGAAGCTGATGTGGCTGAGAAACGCAAACTACCGAAAGATATTATCTCTCAGGTATTGGGAGATGTTAGCACAGACATCTTCAACAGACTCAGGTAAAACATATAAAAAAAATATGATATTCATTTTATGAGATGTTATCCAAAAATTTGCAGAATTTGAACAGATTATCAAGAGTTTTGCTGGACATTTCACAAATCTCAAAGCCCTTTCTTCCAGGAATTGAACCATCCTATTTTCTATTAAATATCTATTTTCTTGTGGAAGTTGTTTCACATTTACATTTAGCCTTAACTTCATATAAAGTGTCCAGAAAGCATCCAGTCATTTAATATATATAATTGTTCCTTCTATTTTTTAAAAATAATTCACAAACTCCTCTTGTGGGATTGCCATCAGTTTCCACATTGTGCTCTCCTTCGTCTTTTTTTTTTTTAATCTGAAATCTTTATTTACGTGATAATTTTACAGTTTTCTGTAAATCCAGATGTCAGAGCTAAGACTTGGCTGATGTGTTTTTTTTTTTTTTTTTTTTGTTTTTTTTCTAAAAAAAAAAAACAAAAAAAAAATGATCTGCACAAAACTTGAAGAACAAGTGAGCAGCACCTTGTCATGATAAATTTGATCACACAATACACAAACTTACTCAGGAGTATCACACAGCTGGTTAAGTAACTCCATGGGAGAGTATATGTTTATGCATGTGTAGTAAGGTGCTCTCTGATTGGTTGCTAAATTATATTATGCATTTAGACAAAGTTCATTAAAAGAATCGAATGGTAAAACTAAGGGAACAAAATCAAACAAGAAAGTAGAAATAAAAGAAGTTTAAAGAACAAAACATAACAAGAAATAAAACGCTAATAGTCTGAAGAATATAGAAATGTTGGACACTTCACCCATATAAAAAAAAAAAAAAATTGGACATGTAAAAATTTATAATTCATAATACATAATCAAGATGCAAAACCTTATTCAATGGAATTGTAACTGGAGTCAAAACACTATGAAAGTGTAAAAATAGGTTTTAATACCAGAAATACTTTGTAAAAAATTGTTGCCAGCTATACACTTTTGAAAACCAAATGTTGCCAGCAATGCATTTTTGAAAAACAGATACTACCAGCAATATATTTTGAAAAAAAAAAAAAATATATATATATATATATATATATATTATCAGATATAGAAATTAATGATATAAATGGCGAGAATACATCTTCACAAACAACTTTAATAAAGTACATTTACCCCGAACCTGTAAATGAAAAAAAAATTCTTACAATTAACAATAACACATTTCTAAAAAAATTATTAAATTTGTTTGCGAAGATGTATTCTTGCCATTTAAATCATTAACTTCAATATCTGTTTTTTGTATGAATGATTCATGTAATGTAAATTGAACTGCACTGCATACTTGATATATTACCAGCTATACATTTTTTGAAAGAAAATTATTACCAGAAATAGATTTTTTAAAGGAAAAATATTACCAGAAATAGATTTAAAAATAAAAATATTACCAACAATAAAAATTTTGTCAGCATTAATTAACCCATTGAGGTTGATACGCCGTAAAACTAAAACAAACCAAACCAAAAAAAAAAACAAGTTATATTATGACTGTGCAAATGGTTCTTGAGATATTCAAAATGGCTGATTACTTTCCTGACTGATCTTGTATATCATAAGGAAACACCACATCTCCCCATCCATCTTTGCCCCCACATCTATTTTGTTGAGCTAAGCACACAAGCCTCTTGCTGCTCTATTGCTATTTCAATAGAAAATATTCAACTTCATTCCACCAGTTCTAAGCTAACCTTCGTGGCCAAGACCCACCATGTCACACACATTATAGCAAAACACTCTCATTCCCTTTGTATTCTATTGGTTAGATGTAAGGTCCACTTGAACAGCTTCTTCCCACAAACCACTACTTCATAGAACCGACTCCCAAGAGGATGCTTCTCGGATTACTTAGTCTTAATGTGTTCAAGTCTAGAGTTAACAGGCTTAATCTTTACCCATATATCTCCAAAAACTGTACCTTATAATTTGTAACTGTCTACTTTGAGTGGCTCCTGGGCCTTGTACAGGGTGAACATTATTGTTTTTAAAAAAAAAAAGAAAAGCAAAATGTAATTGTTAAGGGATTTCTAAAACTATGTGTGTTTTGGATTTTGAAAAGGACTAATGAGTCAATTTTTGTTTTGTTTCCTTTACTCTGCAGTGATTTGAACTTAGTAATTGCTGCCCATCTATCAGATAGAATCCTTGAAGGTGTCATCGAATCTTTGTCCAAGAGTCATAAACAGCTGGTCAGTATCAAATATTTGGAATTTTTTTCTCTTTTACCTGCCTTAAAATTCTCATTTACTTAATTTACATTTTGGTCTTTTAGGAAATTAAAACTAATAAAAAATAATTTCTGGAGAAAATTAAAAAAAACAAAGACAGAAAATTAAATTAAATTTTCAAAATTGTTTCTGCAATTGAATGCTTTAAACCTAATATTGTTAAGGGGATTATTTACAAATGGATTGGCACGTTGTTGCAATATATGTGCACTCTACCTCAGGTCATACTGTAACACCATCATGTTTGACCCCGCAAAATTTTTTTTTTTTACATACCATGTCAAATATGGTAACTTAATTTCTGGAAATTGAAAAAAAAAGTCTAGTAACTTAATTACTCAAAATTGAAAAAAAAAAAAGTCTAGTAACTTAATTACTCAAAATTGAAAAAAAAAAAATCTAGTAACTTAATTATTCAAAATTGAAAAAAAAAAAAATCTAGTAACTTAATTATTCAAAATTGAAAAAAAAAAAAATCTAGTAACTTAATTACTCAAAATTGAAAAAAAAAAAAAAAGTGAAAATGCTTTTTTGTTTCTCCTCTCTTTAATATTTAACTTTCTAGTTTAAAAAAAGTAAATAAAGGTGGATCAGAAGGTATTTGGTTTATAATGAAAAAACAAAGAATAGTATACATCACAAATGACTATGAAAAAAAGAATTTTCTACAGACTAATAAATCTTGGTCATACCATGAAATCAGATGACAAAAATGATTTCATACATCCTATTCTTTTAATATTGTCTTCCTGATTGGCATTGAACAGGAAGAACGGTAAAAATAAAAAGATCAAGACTTTAACAAATATCACATTGACATTATGAATCGAATTTATTAAACATTGCATGTGTGGATGGTCAAACAATGACAAAGTTAGAGAGTTAGCCTTTACTTCAGGCAACAAGAGACTGCATTCTGTGGAGATCCATGATCAGCCACATAGTAGGGAGGGGGTTCAGAAATGACTTGGAGCTTGTGGGGGAGCTTTGTTTGCCCATGTCCTAAATGGACTTGAAATGTAAAAGAAAATTGTTTTGATATCTGGTCGTTTTGTTTTCGTAGACGAATGAATTAAATGTGAAGAAACGGTACCGCTTCAGTGGCTCTTTTGATACTGACAAGAATGAGAAGGCAGACTTAGAAATTCCCTCGGAAAAACTTTCAGAAAAAGCAGCTCTTGAAGATCACGAAAAGGAAAGTTCCACACTTAGATGTTCTCCAGGGGTAAGTAATCTGATTTTGTCTTGTATGCATCTTACTTGCCTACATCTTGCGCTCTTTGCAGTTTTTCAGAAAAGCAGACTTTTTATCAAAAAAAATCATTTGTCATTTTGCAACTTTTAAAAAAAAAATTTTTTTTTTTTTTTTTTTTTTTTTTTTTTGTAAATTTTCTTCTGGGTGGACTACCCAAACGTAATGTATTATTTTGATAAAAGGAAATTGTATTCCTTTGCAAACAGCTTTAACCCTTTTGCTCAAACCCACCCTGTAAATATTGGCTTTCAGTTATTTTGCAGTCAAGGTCTCACTGTGGGACTTTCTGCATTATTTGTGGTGATGTCAGATATTATGGTAGGATGTACATGGAGCAGGTTATGGCAGGTTGAACATTAAGAGCCAATATTTCTGGAACAGGTTGAATGATAATGGGTTATGGTATATTTCATTATATGAAGGTTTTTTTTTTTTTCTTAATATTTTGTTGTAATAGTTTTCTTATTTTTTTCTTTCCTTTTTTTTTTTATAATCTTTATTGACGTGTTCTTTTGAGGAATGAAAATATATTTTTAAAGTGTTGAATTTGCATTTGGCAAATTATTAAAAAAAAAAAAATGCTAAAACACATCAAATAGGTCTTTGAGAATCTTAATGCATCTCATTTTTACTTTTCATACTAAATTTCATCCAATACAAAGCTCGAGAGCCACTCCAGGTAGATGGTTACAATCAAAATGGTAATTCTGAACAAAGTGTGTTACATGAAATGAATAAGGTGGATAAATAATTGATTGGCACTTTACTTGAAGAGATCAAGATTGAAGTGTTCAAGGAAGCATCCACAGGGGAGTCTATACTGAGCGGAATGTTCTTACAATTATGACAAAAAGGAAATGAGGTTGATTCAATTCTGTGGAAGTAGCATGGCATGTCCCAGCTGTAGAGGGCTGAACTGGAGAAACTAAAAAGAATGGAACACTCATCTGAACATTTGCCATGGAAATAACAACATTGTGTCTGTGAAAAAGAGGTTGTAGAGTGGTGTCAGGCAGATATTTATGGTAGAAGTTGAACATTCCAAATATAACTCCTCATTTCTTTTGCCTTGTTATAGATAGCAGCTGAGTGTCATTCTGGCACAATGGTGTCTGACATGAAAGTGAAGTGGAGGAGTGCCATAAAAAATTACTCCAATTGATGCTTGCTGAATGTTTATGGAGATGAAATAGTAGATGTGAGCATAGCCAGGCAGTGTTTAATGCACTTCAGTTTCGTTGAAATAAGATGCATTGTTTATTTATTTAGGATCATCTGGAAGTTCATTGTTTACATATTTAGGATCATCTGGAGGTGCATTGTTTACATATTTAGGATCATCTGGAGGTGCATTGTTTACATATTTAGGATCATCTGGAGGTGCATTGTTTACATATTTAGGATCATCTGGAGGTGCATTGTTTATACATTTAGGATTATCTGGAGATGCATTGTTTACTTATTTAGGAGCATCTGGAGATTAGTTCACATTAATATTTGGTTTTATCATGTGATTACAAAAAATATGCAGCATGCATTATTTTTGTGAAAGAAAATTTTTAATTTTTTAATGACCGAGATATACTGGTTTTGAGTTACATCTGTCATTAAAAAAATTCTTCTTTTGTAAAATAATACATATTGTCTTCACAGTAATCTGAATAAATTAAAGAACAATTATTAAAAATCCTATGAAAGGTTCATGGATGGGTAGTTTGTGTTAAGTGGAGTTGATTTGAATTAGTCTGGTGCATTTACTTTCACACTAATACTCTTGGGAATGGTATGAATGCAGAGGTGGCAGCCAGTCTAAGAAAAGGACTTCTTTGAATTCAAAACAATTATGAAGGCAATAAGAAACCATTCCAATATCTCTCCCAAGAATTCATGACAATTCACATATATTAAGAAAAGGAAAGTGTGGAGAACCATAATCACTTGTGTCCTTAAAGGACATGGTATTAGTGAAGGAATGGACAGGTAGTGTAACAATTATCAACATGGAAAGTGGAATTTGTGAACAGTTCAGGTATTGGTCTGATTTATTGCACTCAATTTTGCACTTATGACCTTGGAAAAGGCATGAATCCACCACTCTGCTCCCTCAAGCTATGGGTTAAATAGAATAGACTGGCTGCCACCAGTCTATTCTAAGAGAAAGACAACTCTGAAGTTAAGCAAAGTTGAGCCTGGTCAGTATCTAGATGGATGACCACTTGGAATACCAGGTGCTATAAGCTTGGATGTGCAGATGGTGTAATAGATAATGGCTCGGAATTGGAAATCGGAGAGCTGAGTTCTAATTCCAGTCAGGTTCATTATATTTAGTTACGTGTAAATAACCCTTCAGGAAATGTATGAATCTGCCTCTTCTTTCTTGAATTATGGGTTAATTAGTTGGGTTTCTATCAGTAATTCTTTATCATTTCCAAAAATTCTTACAATCTAAAAAAAATACTTTAAAATAACCTGCAAAAAACTGATAAACCATAAAAAAAAATGAATGCCCTTGTGTACTGAGAATGTTCATCAATGATGCTTATTCTTACTGTCATTGGGGGTATTTTGTTTTTGTTGGCTGTTACACAAGTTGTTCTGTACAAGGACTGGTAATCTACCAGATAAGGACTGGTAATCTACCAGATAACTTCATATATGAGCCCTGGGATATTTTTTATACAAGTTGTGGGTCTTATACTGTCAAATGCAATACCTGTTTGCCTGTCATTTGCATGCTGCTTTACTAAGGGTATTGTTTACACATAATAATAAAAAAAAGTTTGTTTATTTTGCATGTGCTATTCAAGTTTGATGTCTGTTAAGTAAGGATTCATTTAAAATTATAGTTGGACCTTTTGTACATTGATTTCCAAATGGATTTTGCATGCTGTTTTAAGCCTATTAGTTACAGAGAAAGAGCTGTCTTGAAATATTTTTGTTGATCTGAACAGAATTTTTTTAATGCATGTTTTCTTTTTGATCTGCACTTTTGAGCTTTTCTTAAAATCATTACATACCTCACATTAATGTTATTACCAGTTTATGAAAATAGATAAACTGTTGATAAATAATTCTTTTCAGATAATACAAAACTTGAACTATTAGTGCTAAACTATTTTAAGGAAAATTATTCTTTTATAGGTTTGAACAGAACAAAAATTAATAATTTAAACTTTAATGACATTTATTGAATAGCTTTTGTATCCTAATGATACACATAAGATGAACTAAGTTCAAATCTCATCAAAAGCTGTTCACAATGTAAAATGACCTGTGAATTGCAAGAAAAAAATGAAGATAATAAAAGAAAAATTAGTCAAAAATGCTTTCTCATAAATTCAGACAACTTAAAACTACATCATCATCATGTAAACCATGAGAAAAAAATTATTTAACATTTGATGAACTTATATAAAGGATTGCTGAAATGTTCTCATGTGACTGAACAAGGGATGTTTGATGGATCAGGCAAAGAACATTACTGGATCTGTTCATATTTTCTTTTGTAAATAACTTTTTTTTTTTGTTAATGATTTTTAGATTTCATATTTTGAAATTTTTGATATTTCTTTGATCTACAAATGACTCCCTTTTTAATTTGTAAGTTAAGCCATGTAGAAAATTTTATATGGTACTTACCATTCTTTAATTATCTGTGTATAATACATCTTGATTGGACAATGAAGCTAACAATGGTATTATGTACTTTGACAGGCAATTCAAAGAATGCTACACTCTAAATTAATCATACTTATTATAAAACCCAGGTTGTGTATGTGTGTGTCTGTTCGTTTATATATTGGATCGGATTTCCTACATTTTTCAACCGATTTCAACAAAACTTCACAGGACTACGTAAAATTATCTTGCGGTGGTTCTGACAGCGCCTAAAATTGGAAAAACACAATTGTTTTTGCACGAAATCAATTTGAAAACACGATTAAGAGACATCGCTGTTGCGAGAATGAAAGGGGAACAACTCGTATCAAGTTATACTTATAAAACCCAGGTTGTGTGTGTGTGTTCATTTATATATGGGATCGGATTTGCTACATTTTTCAACTGATTTCAACAAAACTTCACTTTTTTTTTTGGCAGGTAGTGTTTCTTATTGTCTTGCACACTTTTTTCTTTAGTTTTACATTCAGAATACTTTAAAAATTCTATTTACAAAACAATTGTTTATAATAAAATTCTATTCAATCGATAGACTCATAACGATTGAAAACAATGTTTTTGTTTGAGTTTGGGTTTAACCAATTCGTAAAAAATACAAAACAAAAAAAAATAATTAAGACATGCGTGTCCGTCAAGCTTAAACAATAATCTTTGTCAATTTTATTTTTCAGTCTTTATGATGGTCGATACTTGATCTATCTCTTACTGTTACATCCCCGGGCAACGCCGGGCTCTACTGCTAGTTTACTATAAATTAGTGAAAACCTCATCTGCTGATCCCACTACACATGTTGTAATTATTATTAATTATTAATTGGTACTCTTATTTACTCACAGTAAATGGTGAATGTAGTTTTTATATTTGAAACTACAATTATTTACATGCAAACTATTGTCTTTATCTTTGTTGTTTTAATCATGTTTCAGTCATTGTACCCTCCAGCCTTCATCAGGTGTACATCAATTTGCATAACCTACACAGAATTCTGAACTGAACCCTTTATTTAATCTATGTGGGTAGACTGTTCTCATTTCACAGCCCTTGTCTAGGGATATGTCATCTAGTTCTTATTTTTAGTACTGCTCAATTATTGCTTGCCCTGTTTCCACTGAGTGAAATTACACACTACCTGACCCAGGAATTGAACTCACAATTACCATGGGACAATAGTTTCATGGATTAAAGCAATTGGTTCATGAAATTGGTAATATTGTAATTGTGAATTTAGTGTTGAAGAGAATGAGAAGAACGGTCAATAAAAGAACAGAATTCTGGACAACAGAAGGTGGCA